TGTGGTGGTTCATCCCCCTCACTCTCTCCTAGACCTATCTGCTTCCCTAAGAATTCCTGTTAGCCTTTGCATACACGCATGGGCTTGGATGGCTGGGTGCCCCCCTGACCATTGGTTCTACTTGCCTAACAAAGGCAGGGAGGACCACAGATAACAGGAAGGCCTGGATACTCCCTTATCATATCAGGAGTTCTTTAGAGATGGTAAATCACTCACTTCTCACAAAGATAGGACACCAGGATGAAAATTTACACTGACCAAAGCCAATCATTTATTATTACCCTATAAATAGTTGTCCCAAGAGTGAGCCCCTCTGAGCTCTCTGGACTGCAGCACACCGTGACCCAGTGATCTCCCTCTGAGTGGGAAGCCTCTTGGAATCCATAAACTTTAGGAGTTTATGAAAGAGGGGAATCATCTGCCTGGGCTGTTGCAGTTGCTCACTGTCTCTCAACCCTTTGCCCCTTGAGGAATGCTGAGAAAGCTGATGTGAGGATATTATTACAAATATTACTTTTCACTGCATCCGAGGGAAAATTTTGACATATGTATGTGTATATATGTAAAGACATCTACATATCCATATATCCCCATCTTACTGTGTTGTGTGAGTTTAAATACTCAATTGTAAGTGTATATATATTAGCTTCAATAATCAAGTGTCTTAGAAATCTTGTGATTCATTGTAACAATACAAACTGCTGTTAAATTGCATTTGTCATCCTTAGACATAAACCATTGACCAAGTCTGAGACTAAGTCTAAATCCAGCCAAAGTAAGGGTTCTAGACTGAATGACTCAACAGGAGGATTTCCTTATTCCCTATATTTCTTTAATTAAACATAAACCACTGACCAGGTCTGAGACTAAGACTGGATTCAGCTGCACCTAGACTCCTCCCTGAGGGGAAGTTTAAAGAGCAAAGGGGCTGCTCTGAATCTTGTGACTCAACAGATTAATTTTCCCTTACTCTTTAACCCCTCTACACAACTTTCTTTCAAGGAATTTAAAGTTTAAAGTTAATTCCCATTAGACATAAACCGTTGTCCCAGTCTGAGACTAGGACTAGGTCCAACCTCATCAAGGCTCTGCCAGGAGTTTAGGAAGTGAGGGGATCTAATCTGAGCCTTGTGACTGAACAGGAAGGTCCCCCTTATTCCCGTTTACCTTCGGTTTCTGTAGGCATTATTTCAACTCTGTATAAATCACTTTAACCCAATCCTATATAAATCATTACCAATACAGACACGATCTCTGTTTGTATGTAAGAGTGAACCTTGCCATTGAATTCTGTTGAATCACACATTTATAAATTTCCATTAAAATGACTCTTATTAGTATCTCTGACAGTGATTCTTTTAGTAATCCTAAACAGTTTCACAACAGGGGGGAATGACCAAGCGGCTGTGCAGGGCTGAGTTAACCCACAACACACCCCTAAGGCCATGGCAATGATACCCCTCAACCATCTCAAATGTGCCTAAGCAAGGACATATTTCCCCAGGAGCTGATTTTCAAGCAAGGACAGGGTATTCCTGGTACAAATCACACTCATGGCCCAGAGGAAGGTCATTCAAAGAAACACGTGGGCAACACCACTAACCATGCCAAGCCGCAGGACCAGCCAGCTTCACAGAAGATAAGGCAGCTTTGCCCAGAGCAGCTGCCGGTGGTGGAAGAAAGAAGCAAAATATTCTTACAGTTCATCTAGCAACACACTGTCCCATTCCTATTGCCCAGGGATGGTTTGAGAGGCCTCTAAGGAAGCTCAGAAGTCTCACTGTTGGCAATGAAGCACTTCAGTAGCTGACTTGCCCCAAACTGTTCTCATTAGGAAATGAGTTTTGCATAAAGCATCAGGGTCAGAAGTCAGAAGGTAAAGCTAATGAGAGATTTCAATCAGACCCAGCACAAAAGGAAGGAGATTCCTGCATAACACAGAGACAGAAAAGCTCTCCTTTGGGATCAGGTCTGCTGCAGGAAGACACTGTGGTACAGGTGACAGGAAAGAGGCTACAATGAAGCAAGCACCAAACATCAAGCCAATTTTCAGAGAGTTCCAGCCTGGGATGAGTGCCTTTCAAAGCCTCTTTCACCTCTGTAATGCACAAACACAATCCAGCCTACTGGAATCATTCCCCTTGCAGGAAGAAATAAGGCAAACCTCCACAAACAAAACAAAACATCAGAGCGAGGGAAGGAAGCAGAGACAGGAAACTACAAGGACACTCTTCAGAAAGGTCACTGCTGCAGGATAAAGGGCCAGATTTTTATGTATGTGCTGAGGTTCCTTCTGAAACTCATTTAAGGCACCTGAAGAAAACTATCAACTTTCTACTAAGGCTCAAACCATCCCCTGCTGCCAGCAAGGAGAAAGTGCTTGCAGAAAGCTAGCTGCCGCCTGGCAGCTGTGCAGGGGAAGCTATAGATCTCACCAGTAACAAGTAGTGAAAATAATGAGACATACAGAAAAGATATTTCATTTTTAGATTGGACTCTACAGATGCAAATGTGTTATTATCACCAGAGAGGTGTAACATCACCTGGGCTGTGTTTGGTTTGAAAGCCTTGACCTGCACATGACAAGGACCCAGGAGCCAGAACACTCTGCTGGGACTTGATGAAATTGGTTCTCATTGCTGCCATTTCTGGGTGACTTGGGAAGTGACATACAATTAATGTCACTGTCTTCTGCTTTAGCTGCCTTAAGTGCGGCTTCAGAGAACCTTGGAAGCCCCAACAAGATTTGTGGAAGTTCACAGTTGTTTAGACCCACTTTCCTGCAATGCTCAGCATGGCTTTGTGAAAACCTGCATCCTCACCACCTGCTTCTTCAGAGCCAGGAGGACAACAGGGGTTAGAGAGAAATACAGTCTTAGGATGCTTGCTCCTTGTACCTACCCACAGGACACTCAGGTTGTAACGTATGGTACAGGAAACAGCCATTTAGCTACTTAAAGTTTTTCATTCATCTGGAAAATGAATCAAAAGTAAATTCTTTCTCTCTCATCCTGCATAAATGGGGAGCCGTGCTCTGCAATGGTCAGGTCCTGAATTTGAGTGAGAAGATGACAGTAAACTATAGGTCAGCTCCACGTACATATGACTGGAACTCAACCTGACCAATTTTTAAGCTTTGGGAGAAGCAAGCCAAATTCTTGCTGTTACTGTGTACCACAGTAGGGCCTAAAAGCCTTAGTTATGGGCTAAGCTGCTCATGTCTTCATGTCATGTGAGCACTGAGGATGACTATGAGCCATGGGACCAGTTGTGCTGGCTCACAATCCATGATTTTCCCCCAGTTACAACATGGCTACACTGGTGCAGTTGCTCTGGACAATCCCAGTCCCTGGATCTGTGCAGAGACAGGACAGCGATGGCTGCTGTAGCTACTATTGCTGGGGCATGGGGTGATGTGACTCTTGAGAACTGCTGCTGTGCTTTGCCAGTGGACCTCTCCCTAGGTGATGGCTCATGACTAGGAGCTTCTTGGCATGGAACTTTCAGTACAGTTAGTCAGGGTGGAAATTCTGGCTGTTTCAAACATCCCACTTTTCATCCAGGGCTTGAGGATGGAGAGGGCTTAATCAAAGCAACTGTTTTCCTCAGTCCTAGAGCTGCCTCATGTCAGTTCTCAGCTACTCACTAGGAAAAGGAGGAAAAAAGAAAGGAGCCAGTTTTTGTGGAAAATCATGGTAGGCCACAATCTACCGAGTTAACAACAACAAAACCAATAAACAAATCAGCTGCTTAGTAGGAGCCAGTCCATTAGGACACTGCAAATTCAATCCGGAGGAAAGCAGTTGGAGAAAAGGGCAAAACTTTCAGTGAGACACACGGCTTGACAAACAATTCACATGGTGTTGATGGCCCTGCTTCTTGCTACCAACATGAACCATGCTCCCAAAAGGCAGTGCATGAGCAAACATGAACAATAAAGTGATTTGTTCTCAGGAAGCATTCAGCCTCTGCCAACAGTCAACCGGATCCAGACAACGGCTAGGGCAGTCAGACCGGCACATGGCAGACCAAATGAGGAACTGTATCACTTGGCACAGAGCTGCTATTTCCAGCACTTAACATCCCATCCTCACGCTAGCTCAACTTTCTCACTCTTCAGAGGAAAACGACTATGCATTTGTAATGAAATCTGGACCTACAAAGGCCAGATTTTTTTCCTTGAGATCAGTAGAGGGCCATCTGAGAATCAGACCACCTGTGCACTGCAGCTTAATATATAGGGTATGTTAAACATCTGCAGAATAAACCTTAATGTTAAAGGTATAAACCGAGTTTTATTTGTCCTGTTTATTCTTTTACCGCCATGCCCATGCACCTACTTGCTCTCAGTGGTCCCACAGGGCTCACCTGCTCCTCAGTTAGATTACGCTCACTGAGCAAGATGCACCTCCCAGCTTTCCAACATTTCCTTTCTTGGGAAAGGGCTTGTTCCATTACTGAGACAGACTGCCAGCAAGTGTGAGGTGGTCCAAACTGCCAGGAAGCTGTGGCTCAAAGATTGATTCAAGCCCGAAGCTAAAAGGTAAGTCTGGATGTAGGTAATTACCTGGGAGGAAGATAGCCTGTTTTCTTTTCTGCTACCAATACTCAAAGATGTGCATGAATGCAATGCATTACTTTTTATCTCCACACTGTAACCTCCACCATGATTTATAAAGACTACTGGAACTTTGTTTAAAGGCAACAACTCAAAGCCAAACCAAGGAACCACTGTCCCTCCACATCACAGAAATGTTTTTCCTCCAGAGCACTTCATTGCTTGTCTTCCCTAGACACTTAAATCCTCCAACAAATACTTCTGACATCAAATCAGTGTCACTGGTGGCATCCCACTTGCCTGGGCTCTCCTTGTGAGAGACCACAAACAATGAGTGGTTCATGCCTGCTTTGCAACACTGAGTAAGCATGCTACCTCTGTAAAGACAGGCTAGGCTGAACAGAAGGGAACTGTGTTTTCAACTCAGGTGGAGACAAAACTGTTGGGGACAGAATTTATTAACAATAAATCAGACTGAAATATAAACAAATGCACACCCTAAAAGTTCATGAAACCCCAAACTAACCTATCAAAAAGAAGAAAAAGAAAATCCCTTTAGAAGCATTTACACTCAGTCATTGCCAGATAATTTTAAAGCACTTGTACAGAATGAGCCCTCTATGCAAAATTAAATTGATTTGTGCATTTTGTATCTCATACGACACTGTATAAACAAAATTACACTGAATATAGAGAAGTTATATCCAAAAGGCACACCAGCACCACACAGATCTTTGGTCTCAGAAAAACTTCCCTGGCTGATCTGTGTCATATGCAATAACCATATTTGCTCATTGTAAACAAAATCACAGCCACTCTAAGCACAATCACTCCCCTCTCATTCGGGCAGGCAATTTCCACTGCTCCTATTATGAATTTATCATGGTGGTGGTGCATCTAGCAGCAGCCTCTACATGGCATACACAAAAAAAACCTAACACCTTCTAGGAGTGAGGTGCAGAATTTGCTATGTATATGTTACTGACCTCCATCTGGGGACCTTTCAACCCCGAATACTGGAGTCCTACTAACAAAAGCAGAATCAACATTTTTCATTAGCTTCAAAACCTTCCAGCTGGCATCACAGGGGCTTTTTGTGAACAAGACAGAGAAAAGGAGGACACATTACTTAGCTGGCCTCTCAAATTACTGCTCAGCTGAGAATTTATTTCTAAGCATATCCATAGTTCTTCTCTGCATTTGGAAAACAAAGTTTCTCAAGCATTACTGCTTCAAACTCTATACTCACACTCCAAAACATCGAGGATTAGAATATGGAAAAATGTACATATAAAGTTCTGCGTTGCAATAGGTCTGAGTAAGAAACAAACACACAAATACGTAAACTTCAGCTTGCTCCTTTCAGTCCAGTTCTACAAGATGCATTTTGTTTTTCATGAACCTGTATCTGCTGGAACAGTTGTAGCCATACCGACCAACCACCTTCAGCTGACTCAGAAGGAATGATGTGATTTAGATCTCAACTAACGGTAAAGCCAGTGAGGTTCGGTGTTGTGTCCTTCCAAATAAAGAAAATTAGTCTGCAATCAACACTTTTCAAGAGCTGCTGCTCTGCATCTCAGAGAACCACATTTGCTCCAACATGAAATTCAGCATTGCTCTAAAATAAATAAAACTCAACTACTGGAGCATTATGTGTTATCTGTGTATGCAAATGAATGTGCTTAGCACATCAGTGTTAACAACCTGACCACTGCTATTACAATGTTAGAAAAAAGACAGCATTTCAAAGGAAAGAGAAAAGCTGCCTACACTGGAAAACTACCAGGTGAGTTTTAATGGCTGCTTTCCACTACTGCCCTTTTGTGAACCATTTTCCCATTATTGTGTTTATCAATTCTGAGAGGAAGTGGATGAATTGAAGCACAGGTCAGAGATTTTCTGTGATTTCTTTGTCATGCATGGAGATCCATGCAGTGGGGGCTATCAAGTGTCTACAATCACTTTATGTCCTATGTAGTTTAGGAGTTAAAGCAGCATTGCCTGCTTTGTTTTAGGACCCTGAAGTTACTGAGCAGTAAATCGTCCCCACCACATGAATAAGACTAGATTTTAAACTGGGAGGTGTCTTCTCCTACAGAATATCCTGTTTCAGTTTAAAGTCTATTATCCAAAGGGGTTACCTGAACTTGCACATGGAAGCCCTTTCTACAAACATCTGACACAGCCTCAGTGACCTTGGTGGGTCTCATGGCAACCACATCACACAAGGAAATGGCCTTGGCTCTTCAGTTGCCACCACACACCAAGAGGCACAATGCAAGGTCTCATCAGAAGCATAAAGCTTTCTTCTGGCGCTATGGAAACGGTTGGTGGTTTTACATTATCTTTACCCTAGGGGAAGGTAGCATCACTACCAGAGTTGCTAGACCTTTCAGGCTGTGTCCACCTGTTTGTTTCTCAAGGTGAAACTCCAAAACAAAAGCCTTACCTTCTCTCTTTTTGTGTGTTAAAGCATTTGTTTTTGAAGTCTGCCTATGGCAAATACACTGCCTGTGTCACGTGCATATCTGCCTCACCAGCAGCCAAGCTCCAAGGCAAACCACAGTTCTGGAAAGCTGTTGCTGTTGTCCTAACAGCTGTGTCACATGAGGGGATGTTACTGAAAAGCCAACCCCCAGTGAAGAATTTAGTGTTTCCTGATCACTGTTATTTTTGAAGAGAAAGAATAACAAACAGCACTAGCTTTGTAATTCACTGGTGGAACTAACTGCTCTCTTTTTTTATTTAGTGGAGGGCTTTCTGATCTCTCTTGCCTATCCAGCAAGATTCTGAAGACTAGCACAAATTCCATGAAGTCATAACCAGTTATCACTCAGAAGTGAAGAACATAAAAAAGGCAACAAAGACCAAAGAAGATTGTCCATAGCCATGTGTAAAGAGAAGGTTACTTCTGATGTGTTCACATTCTCACGGTTTCTTTGAATGAAGAAACAAAGTTCTTCATTTCAGTGTTAAAAAAAAAAAAAAAAAGGATTATTCATTCCACAAAAGTTTAACAGTAGAATTAAGAAAAAAAACGGAAGAAATAGTAGGAGTGATTGCTGCTGATCATGGTGGTGTGCATGGGTGCGGCCTTGGGCACTGGCACAGTTTTTTTCAACTGCCACAGGTCAATCAGAAGTTGATGAAATACTTTCTCTCCAGTATCTGGTAGCCAAATACAGAACTCGCTCCACACAAGACTGCTCCAGGCAGTGAGGCTCTGCACACATGGCGTACATTTTCACTCCTAGTTCAGATCCTTTGAACACAGGTATCTCCCAACTAATTCACAAAGGCATAATAAATTCAGTGAGCAGTATGTAAAAAAGACAGCTGCTTGGTCAGTCTCCTCTGCTGAGCATTACATCCTGTCTCCAAAGGCCATTTACTCTGACACAGAAGGCAGAGAGCAAGAGTTTCTTCTCAAGGTGGCAATGTCACTTTAGAGTAAACTATTGGAGATACTAGGACTACATGCATCTTCCATATCAGTCCTAGGCTGCTGCCAAGGCCTTGAATTGTAATACCGTGTCTTAGCCAGGTTTAGAGATGACAACAGATGCATCCCATCAGATAATCCCTGAATCACTGTGCAAGGCATACGCCATGCAATGTCAATAACCTAACCCTCTTCTCAGTAGGTCGCCAGTAAAGCTCATTACAGGAAGTTGGCTCTGTCCTTCAACAATGTGACAGGTGATTCTTGAGGAAAGGAACTGTTCTCACTTCCTGTAGGACTGGCTGCCTGCAGAAAAACAGCAAGAAAGGATCTGTCAGCTGAAAGCAGGATTTATTACAACACAGGAGCTGCCTGAGGGCAACACTTATACAACCTGTACAGTGACACAAACACCACAAAGAATATATAGAAAGGCACCTTAACCACTGATGTTGCAACTTAAAAAACGCAGAATGTATTTATGGCAACCACTCCGCAGGGGACACTGAAAGAACTCGTGAAGGAACAGGGGGTTACCAGGGCCCAGTGACACACCTGATAAAAATCATTCCTCATTCTTCTGGTAGAGATTTTTGTACTACTCTGGCTCCACTGTGCCCTAGACAGAACTTGGTACACTGCGAACAGCTTCAGCACGCCCACACAGAGTTGCTTGGAATAGATGCAGAGCAAGGAACAGGGTAGATGAAACCATTCAACTATGTCCACATGGGGCACATAAGCACAGTTGAAAAAGTCTAAATGTTCTAGCCATGCTGCCAGTGTCGTCCCTGCACGAGCTAGGAAGTAGAATCCGCAGAAAACCCCAGCATGGCTGATTTCATTTGGAGGAGCTTGGTTTTGCTTTAATGTACAACTTCAGAGCTCAGCTAACAGCAGCAGGCTACATCTCAGGCAGGAATCTTGCCTCAGGGCTGTAGCTCCACTTGTACCTGTGCTTCCTCTGCATTCCTCAGGCATTCCACACACTCCAAGTGCCAAGAGGAACAGTCCAGCTGGGTTTATGTAAGAACAACTTATTTCCAGAAAACACACCCATAATAAATATTGAAAGCAAGTTAAACGTGTGTCTCTAAGGTAAGTGAGCACATCAAGTAAGTAAAATCAGAACTAATCCTTTTCTCATCATGTCTATCAACTATAATAACTTGTATTTCTGGAGAAATACCAAGAAATCCACAAACTAAAGACAAGCTTCCACTAGGACAGAATCTCTTGATATGTAAAAACCTACATACCTATGCAGCAGCAAACCGGAGGCATCAACTGCTGAAAGCTACTGATTGCTGATATCTATGTGTCAGATACAATTTTGACTTACAGATGAGTCAGCTAGGAAATTAAAGGAACAGTTGCACAGAGCTTTACTAGGGAAACATTAGGGGCTCACCTGCTTCAAATGCCTTCCCTGCATCTTTAAGTAACAGCTCGGAACTACCTTTGAGAGCCTCAAGTGTTTAAAGTCCTTTTTAGTCCTTTGAAATCTGGTCCTTATCACCTTCCTCTCACTTTTCCTAACCATAAAAAGCCTGTGAAAGCCTGCACAAGATGTACAGTAACTAACAGGTGCTCTGTGACAGCAGAGAGCAATGCAGGACACATACACAGTGTGAATGGAAGAAGACTTTTTTTGCAAAATAATTTATTTGCTATTTTTAGCAGGAAGATAAGAGTTTAACATTCAATTGCTGACACCAAGTCTGTCTCATGGCACCTGTGGGCAGATAGTAAACAGTTACCTGGAACCCCAATAGGAAACTCAGGAGAAGAGCTAAATGGACACATAGCAAGATGTGATGCCCGTTATACGTTCAGCTTTAGGATGCACAGATACAGCTAAGAGGTGTGTTGAAGGACAAATCCAACCCAGTAAAAGTCAGAAGAGCCAAAGAGTCTGGACTTACTGAATTAGCAGAGAAACCCAAGTGATATACAATTCTGATCATCCTCTGCTCTTATGCCATTTCAAGATAAAATACAGTAAACACTATGCCACTGGAAAAAGAACTTTCTCCAGATCCCTCTGAGAGCAACATATGTATGCTGCATCTTTCATAGGACATCGGCACCCAGGAGCGTTAAGCTGTCCTGGAGAAACTAGAACATGCGGAGGAGTATTTATGTGCACACACACACTAAGCTTTTCCCTTCTTCAGCAGAGTTTCTCCTTTTCAATTGGCCAGTGCTTTTGTAAATGAACTGAAAGAGGAAGCAGGGACACTCTCGGGTGTTAACACCACATTCAATCAGGGCAGAACAGTGCTGCTATCACAGGAAACAGAAATGTCAGAGGTAAAGCACATGGCATATGCAGCATAAGTAAATCCAAAAGAGCTGGCAATATTACCTAAGCATAGGACTGCTCAAGCAAGTACCCTCTAGGTCAAAACCTCTCTTCACCACCAAGGACATTCCCTACCATTGCCTCACCTGTACTCCCTGAATGTAAACCACCCCATCTCCCTGCACATGCAACTGTGTGGAACAACAATCAGTGAACAACGCAGAAGACTTAGGAAGCTCTTTCCAGTTCTACTGGTTATTTACTAGGTTATTTCAATTCTCTGTGTTTCATTTTCCCTACCTGTAATGAGGTGCTAAGGATATACACACGTCAAATTTCTTGCAAAGGTTTGTAAGGTACTATGAGTTACCATGTGTTTGTGAAAGGTTTAAAGATAAGTTACATCTAAAGAACAGAGCTGACGTTGCATTGTGATCAAATAATCATCACTAAACCTCTTCAAATACGTTTGGAATGAGAATATACAGCACACAGCTCCTGCCATTTTCGTTGATGAATCCAGCTAGTCCTACCCACACTCCAGGGAAAAATCACGCTAATTACTCAAGAACGCATCTTTCTTCTCTCTTCTTCCAAACCTCCCCCCAGCTTATATACCATACGCGTTTACTGTCATAAGAGTATCTGAGATAACATTTCTGCTTTCTTGGGCTGGTGTTGGCTGGCTTAAAGCTAGTGTCCATCCTTTCCCTCTGACCTCAAGTTACAGACCTCTTCTGAGCCCACTGGAAACTAGTACTGCTTAAACCTCAATAGGCAATAAGACATCCATGTGGTTCTTAAATACGAGTCTCCAGCAGAATGATGACTGTCACAGGCAGCACACCAAGTTTTGGCTGCCTCCTTACTAGGCTGCCCTGCGCCTGTCTTCTGAACTGCCTGACATCTGGTCTACATTCAGTTGCAGTGCAGACACACCCAGAGATCCAAACTGAAGAACATTAAACACTTTACAAGAGTGGAGCAAACGTGTCTGAAGATAAGGAAAAGGTCTTATGAAATCTAGAGGAAGTCTGAGACTAGAAGCTTCCCCCCAAGCTTCTGAGAATTCACAGAATCGTAGAAGCATAGAATTTGGGCCACTTTTCTCCACCCAGATACAGGAAAAAGCATGTCTCTTTAACTGCTCACACAACAGCCTGGAAATAGGAGCAGTGTTCAGCAGGATATAATTACATGGTTGTATATCCTGCAGATGACAAGTACAATGTCATATACTCCTGGCACATTTGTAGCATACAACTTCATTCCTGGAGAGCTACTACAGTGCTCCCTCCATTCCCACCCCAAGGTCTGACACACAGAATGATGACTTTTTCCACTTACTCTGTCTGCTCTTTGTGGATGATCCTGAGGAGCTGGGACGGCTTGTGCATTGGGGTCCAGACTGAGAGAACTGGGGAGCAATGGCTGGGACCTTTCCCTTTCTAGGGCTGGCACTCTGCACTTCGGGAGTGCGAGGGATCTTAGGTTTGCTGGTGAAGGCTGAGGGAAACTCACTGTAGGAGGAGATGGAAAGGGTTAGCAATGCATGGAGAATTATGTATGTATAATAAGTCTGCAACCAAGTGAAACCCGCAGTACATGCTGTGACGGCATAACAGACTGCGCAAAATTCAGGGAGACTGCAAATGGAAAGGAACAGTGGCACTACAGGTACTGCCCTGGGGCATGTATTCACCGAGTTGCTTCTAAACTTGGCTCTATCGACCTGTCTATCCTACTCAAACATGGTTCTTTGGACAACAGGATTAAACAGGTTCAGTTAAATCGCCTGCAAACAAGTAATAGATCTTTAGCTTGTTTTCCATTGTATTTATCACACACACAGAGACTCAATCTGAGGTGCAAACAGGTATGCTACAGCACAGGAATGCATCCTTTTATGGCACTAAGTATTACTTCTCCCAGGTATAGGTCACAATCTTGGCAGAAACAGGCAGCCTCCCTGGCTCCCAGCTGTGGTAAGATTTGTAGAACACCCTGAAGGCTTTGTCAAAAGAGCAAAAAGCTGCGATGGCATCTATGAAATAAATTCCCTAAGCACACAGGTTCCTTGCTCACACTGAGAACATAAAACAGCTGCTGCTATTTCACAGTCTGCTTGTGCGGCAAGAATACCATTATTTAAAATGTAGTCCATGACTGTGTGAAGATACTTTGTCCTTCCCTGCCCCCAGCATCAGTATTCTTTCCCAGGTACAAAAATTGAGGCTACCAGGAAACAGCAAGTCTCTAACGTAATTCAGAATCTATACTCATGTTTGCTCTAGTGAGTCAATTTTCTCTCAAAAGGAGAAAAGGTTAAACAGAAATAATAGCTACGTGAAAAAAGCTGACCATATTTAAATAGAAAATAGAAGAGCCAAAGGCAGGAGATCGAAAAAGGTGCCATCTAAAGATGAGATTAAAATGGAAAGTCCCCGTGTTATTAGCGCCATCAAAAGAACCCTTTGTGACCATCAGAAAGGGTGATTAGGAGGATTTTCAAGACATTTAATCTTGCCTCCTCCCCTGGGAATGCTGCTTAGTCAGTGCTGATTAGCCCTTCCATACCCCTGCTTCACCTTGCAGAGAGATCTGAGCAAGTGTTCCTTTTGTATTTTAAATGAAATGAATTGTCTTATTTTACATTTGTACACACTAACTGTTAAGGACAGAGACATGCTAACTGGCATGTCTGCTATGAGCCATCTCAGCAGCCCTCCACCTGTCTCTGAGTATTACAAGTATTACATTCGTCTCATTTCAAAGGAGGAGGTACCAGGAAAACAAAACCAAAAACCTAAGATCGGCTAGATAAAACCCCAAGCCGTGGGCCACAGACATATTTAAATATCTCTCACCATAAACCAGTCTCATTGTTACTGCTTTTTTTGTCATTTTATTCACTTTAGTTCAAGAGCTGGGTTTTCAATTCACTTTTGCTTGTCATGGTAATCATATACATACTACAATAAGCTAACACAGACACAAAAGGAAGAACCGACAGCTTCACCACCACAGTTTTTGAGCGGTAAATGAGCTTTCTTTCCCTCTTCATTCAGCAATAGGTAACAAAGGTCTGGATCTGTATCCCCATACACTAAGAAGTGTTTTTATAGCCATCAGTAATCTTCACAGAGTTCCACTGCAGTAACCTGGGCAGATGGACTGTAAGCACTCCAGACACAAAGTAATGCAACCGGAGTCACTATACCAAAGAGTCACACCGTGGTCACACAGATGGCTCACATCTTTGCAAACTCTTCAGGAGAAGATTATATAAAATAAGTTGGTAGCAAACACTATAACATTGAAAAAAAACCACAACCTCCAAACTCCAGAGCAAAACAAAACTGCTGGTTTTCTAGCAGGGTGCAGAGCAGATCTTGGTCTCGATGTGCCCAGGTGCCACAGAACCACCTCATCTTTTACTACACCAATAAACAGGCTGAGATCAACAGAAAAGAACTAATCCTCAGAATAACACAGAAAACTCCTATTTGGCATCCTTTAGAAATTGATGAGATGAAGAAAGAAGCAGCAAAATCTAACTGTGGGAAAATGTTCCACAGTATTTAGTAAAGGAGTCATTTACAACAAGGTGTGGTAATTTGAGAACAAGTGCTCAAGCAAACTAGAAAAAAACCCAAAACAACCAACCAAAGAAAAAAACCCCAACCTGCAACAAACTCACACAGAAACCTACATTTGCATTAAGAAGAAAGAAAACTGTTCACTTGCAAAACTAGACATAACTGTGTAAAAAAGTGCATGACAGACTGACACTGGGAATATTCAACTGGGAGACATGACAGGACTTGAACACACAAAGATGACTAGACCATTTTCTCCAATAGAAATACATTTGGACTTTGGGCGATTTTTACCAGATTATCAGAAAACCAAGACCATTAGAGACCTAAGAAGGCCTTGTAGAGTTTAAACCCTTTATGTCAAAATAAAAAGATACAGGCTTTTTCAGCCATCCACAATTGTAAACTCAAGTCTATCACTAATTTGGCCTTGATTAGCTAAAAAGCAGAACAGATTTATATTCTTATATTATTAAAATGCAGCAGAGAATAGCAACTCGGGGGCAGCTGCCAGTCTGACATATATCAGCTATAACAATCATTTGTTCCTGTGGAAAGAACCACAATAAACATGCCACTGCTGTGGTCTCATTCTTCTCTCAGAGTGACAGCGTAATTTCACTGATCTCTGTGCAGTTAAATTCCCAGTCTATACTGCTAAGGAAGAGGGGATATAGCAGTGACCATAATTCATCCCTCTTTTTCTCACACATACCTCTGCTAGGAAGGTCTTGGTATTTGCCTAGTAGGAAGGACACATGTCTTACAGCGGTCAAAACTATGACCAAAGCAGTGATATATTTGCTCTGTTTGTTTTGCAAACAAATTAAAGTATGCTTCCATGAATGAAAGAATGAAAAGGCACGTCCAGCTATTGCAACACCAACACATTAACAAAAGACCTTGACACAGGAACCCCTGTGCTTGGACTGTGAATGGCTGTATTCCCATATCCGTAACTCGAGGCTGCATTTGTAAATACAAATTATTGTATGCATGCTAAGAAAGCACGCAATAAAAAGACACTATCTTCTCTTGCGGGATACTGCACCTGTTCCTTCAGTTAGAGATCCATCTATTAGTGAGATTTAGACATACATTTATGAAGAGAAATTAAAAATTACAGAAGACATATCTTTTTAATAATAGATTATAACTGTATAGAAGCAAAGCCTCTCACCAAGGTGGGGGAAAGATGTTACCAATTTGGCTTGCTTCTTGCAAGCCAAGGCCTGAAAAATAATCTCTCCATCACAAAGCAAGCAATTTGACCATAAAATTCTCATTTGTAATATGTGCTTGGCTTCTGTTAGGACAGGCAACAGAAACAAAACCAGTAATGCTGGGATGAGGCCATGATTACTAGGCATTTCAGCTGCTAACCAGTGATAATTCGTTGACGATATGTAACAGCTCAGATATCACCATGGAAACAGCACAACTGGGGGTAAAACAAAAAAAAACCAACCAACCAAAAAACCCCAAGCCAAACCAACCAACCAAAAAACCAACACACAACCAAAACCACACCAATCCCCCCAAAACAAAACACCCCAAAACCACACACAGGAGTCTGTAGGCCAGAAGGAAACAAAACTCTAAGCAGAGAGTCCAATTTTCAGAAGTGCTAAACACAAATAGCTAAGCAGTTTGAAAAATTAGATCCATAAAGAACTGGTAAAACCTTTCCTTAAACACATCTCCACCCATTCTGTTTTTACTGTGTTTTACTTCTGGAATGTACTTGCTTTTATAATTTCTCTACACTCACTGTTTAAAACTTGGCCCAATCAAATTAGCTATAGGAAAAAGCTGTTAATGTCTGAAGGATACATGCAAGCCCTGAAAAAGTTTGGTAAACCTTGGGCCAATTGCTAATGAATTCCTAGTTCCCATCCAAGATATAACATCACAGTCCTACATATGACAAAGGCTTCACAGAGGGGTCAAGGTATGAACAGGAGAAGGAGAGGAAGGATCTTTCATCTTATTTTGAGAGAAATTGTTTCAAAGAAGAGTTGAAACCCATTGCTGAGAGAACTCATAATACTGCTCCCTTGCTATACCTGTCTAGAGGATAAACTGGGGATTCTGGTCAGCCATGCTAGTAACTCAGCATGTTTAAACCCCCTTAATCGACTTAAATGCTTCATTTTTCTTCCTCCTGCAAGTTAGTTCCTGCCCTGTTCCCACAATCCTACCTATTTCTTTACTAATAAATGACTTTTCATGGGTTAGAGTCGAGTCATCTAAGGAAGCAATCAGGAAGTTTTATTTGCAAAACACTGCATTTTGCATACATGTGAAGTTCATTAATAATGTCTTGCTTGAAATTTCTCCTGTTCTAGACCAAATGCTTAGGAATTGAACAGCTGCCTCTGGCACAATTAAGGGTATTTTGTTTGGCAAGCACCGTCACAGCTGTCTCAGACCAGACTACATCATACATCAAATGACTTAACAGATTGTCTTTACAGCAGCAAGGAATTAGCTGGTAAGTCCTCTCAGACTCCTCTTGCACTTCTATATACTCCTCTGGATAAATCATACCTGTGTGATTGCCCATTTACTTCATCCTGGGTGAAGTCAGTAGATTGGGAAGACAAGATATTGTCACTAGCTGAGGTGCTTCGGTCCACTGTATGGCCTGAAGAGAATTCTCTAGATGACTTAATTTCAACTGCTATTAAAAAATAAAAAAATCATCAAAACAAAACAAACAAAAAAAACCAACAAAAAATATCAACAAAAAACCACAGTTCAGTGAGGAGCTGTCTCTTTACAATTTTACTAAAAACACAATCAAATCACAGTTCCTGCTGAATGAAGGAAACCTTGAGATAATAGCAGGCTACTGCATTAGCATGGCAGAGTGCATTATAGCTCATGAGCTGAGCCAAGCCAACTGCAAGTGTGCACATTTCCAGCCCTTTGCAGTCGGAAAGTAAAACACACTTGGATCATTTTCAAAGCATTCACAATAGGCTAGTATCATGCAGACCATCAGTTAAGGTATATCAGCTAATGACCAGTATCTCATTAAATCCACAGGAATGTAACCATTTGCAGTTGTCTGTACATATCCATAGCAGGATAGGCAGCCACTGTGAATAAAACCCATTGTTTTACACTTCTGTCAGACTTCAGTTCTATTACATTTGTTCAAGACACCTCACTTTCTGCCTTGCACTAATGGAGAAGGGAAGGACAGTCAGTCTGCCGAGAGACGAAAGGCTACCAAGATGTGCAAGTTCAGTAAAAGTTTAGGGAAAATTCCTAGCTCCATTCCTCCCATGCTCAGGACAGGCTGACATCCTATCTGGTCTCACATGTTGATATGGATAAAAATCAGGTCACAGGCATTTGGCTGCTCAGAGCGTGTTCTGTTTGAGATTCAGCATAGTAAGTATAGTAAGATGACCAGAGTTCATCTTTAGTCTACAAGTTTTCTGCTCATAGGAGACAAAACAGAAAGGGCCAGAATTATTGATTCTTCACCAAAGTGATAAAAATCAGACAAAATCAGACTGACTCGAGAACAGCTGAATATATCCAGCTGTGAAGGACATTAAGAACTGCTCTTATTTTTATAAAACAAAAGAGGATGAAAGTTTCTTGAGACTAAACTTATCTTCCTTGAGATATGACCTCGATGATATTAACTGTTCACACAAAGCTTTTATTCTGCTTTTTCACTTATTCATTTCACGATGTTACTGCATGAAACTCTGAATCCCAAAGTATTCACGTGATGCTCAAAAACACATATTCTGAAGTGAGCAGGTTCCTGGTACTGCATAATCACCATCAGACTAAGATCAGAACTCAACAAACTGCATATTTATTGCACAGCAAATATGTTTATTGCACAACAAATATGTTAGAAAGGCAATAGAAGAGAAAGGGCTCATTTTCAATTGTCTTAAATTAAAGCCTTTCCAATTTAAAAATTACAAACCCCACCACCTTTTGGAAAACAGGGGATGTCCAAAGATTCATTCCAATTATCATTATGCAGAATGAAAGCACTGTCACTGACATGAACAACCAGGGATCCAGCAGCGCAGTCTCTCTTTTCTCTTCTCCTACTCCTGATTTCTAAATCCCAAAAGGTAAGAAAGACAAGCATGTAGCTCACTGGCTACTTGCAAAAACCTGAAAGAAGCCTATGGCGATCTTTCAAGTAGCCCACTGTTGCCTTATAGCCTGGATTAATGCCAGGAAGAATTGTCTCTGCCACACTCACAAATAATTTGTCTTTTTACATGTATAATGCATATAAACTTGCAATATGCTGTATATATATTCCTTTTTTTTTTTCTACAAGAGAAGAGTATATTCTAGTACTCTGATTCTTACCTATCTGCACATAATTTTGACTGAAAATAGGTAACACGCTGTTCCCTCCCACCCCCCACCCCCCACCCCGCCTTCTATATAGGAGAACTATCAAGTCAGCATGCTTTTGATTAGTTTACAACCTCTCCTGTTCCAAGTTGCTGCCCCTGGCCAGTTAACCTCCCCGTAAAATGGGCTCAGCTATACTCGAGGTGCTATTGTGCAAAGGGAGGCTTGAGGAGAGGACTGCAGCTCTCATTCCTACACAACAGTGAGAAACCAAGTGCCCATCTTGAACAAGACGTTCATCTGCTTCTATCATACGGCTTTCATTCAGCATGTTATATTTATCAGCTCTAGGCATTACACAAGCAAATTCCTGCCTGTAAGACTTTGGTTACTTTTCTCAGAATCCTTTTCATTTCCTCTAGGAAATTTAAAAAAATAAAAGAGTGAAAAGTATGCTATTCCTTTACTGCTTCAAAGCATATTTTTCAGCAAAGTAAAGGCATGCTTTGTCTGACCTTATTAATAATTCTGTACCGGATATACCGCAAGATCCTTTATCTAAGACTGCAGAACATTTTGCCTTAAATCCCTAATTGGAAATGTTAATGAGTCCCTGCAAGAAGGCTGAAACTCCCACATCTGAAGTTCCATGATCCTGTGGATATTAGAAATTAAGAAATAAAGTATTTCAGAAGGCTATAACCTTGTACATTCCATCATATTTCTGAGTTCTCAGGTCCAGCTGAGTTTGTATTCATTTCAGTTTAAGTTGCAAGGACAGAAGCTTAGCAGCATCACCCACAACACAGCTATACAGCACAGGGCTTCCCATCCTCCACAACCTTTAATGGTTTGAATGTAGTTGCAAATCTAAGCAGATAACTGCAGCTGCCTTCAACTTTAATATAGAGGTCTAGCCAACAGAGCCTGCAGGTGCCAGCAGACAGTGATTCATTTAGATCCAAACAAGGGTATATTTGATCAAGTAAGGGGCTTTACTTGTTGTGAAGTGCACAGTCTCTGGGCTGCAGCTCTTTCCCTAGGCAGAGGGCATCATGGAGATACAGTATACTTTGCATATTGGAAGCCCTGGGTAGGACAGTTGGCACTTCCGCAGGAAGCGAGATGGAGTGAGGCAAGTGAGACTATTAGTCTCTGTTGACCACACATTACCTTCTGTAGCCACTTATTTAGCTCCAGTCAAAATCCAACCGTGTGCCCCAAGGTCTTGCAGAATGCCTCAGGGCTGAAAAATGGAAGGCCAGTTCCAAGGCTGCATTTAAAAAACAACAAATCTACAACACATAAGCTAAACCCCAAATGCCTGTCCCAGTCAAGAAAGACAGACACAGTTAACAGCAGCATTCACAGAATATCCTTACATGAAGGGGAAATGCAGAGGTCAGAAATGCTGGAGGTGCTCCCACAAGTGGAAGAACGATCACTTGGCAGGGATTGCAGCTTCTCATCCCTATCATGATAAGAATTGGTATAATTTTCTGGCCTAGAGGAGAAAGGAGAATGCAGGGTGATGAATGCTTGCAGCACAAAAAGTTGCATGAGAGTAAATTCTAATTTTTTCTAATTGTCTGCAATGACATAGAAGATTATTGACATTATTTTATATTTCATATTGCAAACTAGTACTCAGGACATAATTTAACTGCATGACTGCAGCTCCCTCAAACCAGGTGATGCTAAACATATTTGAAATTAACACTTTTTTCTGCTGCAATAAAAGAGTCAAGGAAAGGAAACCGTAACTCCTTGCAGCCTGAAGACCCAAAATGCACCAGGACACTTAAAAGAAAAAGCCTGTAGCAGTGCGGCTGAGAGGTCTTGAATACTCCGCTTTTTCAAGGATTTAAGATTTGCTCCCGAATATTACAAGGATTTCACTTTACAGAGCAATACACAATAGAGATTTAAAACAAAGTAGAGAAGAAATAGAACTGCTGATTTCCCAAGTGAGGTTGATCAGTGAAAAACTGAAGTAGCGGAAGGACAGAACAGGGTCAAGATTGCTTAGTAATAAGCAATAAAACACAGCAAGAGGGGTGTGAAAAGTGAGTGAAGATAAGTTGGCAGACACAGAAAGTCTCCCTGTCCAATATCAGGTTAGAGTAACTAGATTATATTTCTAGTTAGAAAGGACACAGTCCAACAAGGCAGTTAATGATTTCAGAGCTAAATCAGTTTCTAAGGAAACACCTTGCAGAATATTAAGTAGTTCAGTCCCCCTTGAGTGATCTCAGCCAGTGCTTCTTTAAAGAGAAGGGGAAAAAAAGAAAAAAAGAGGAGAGAGAAAAAAAAAAAGAAAAAAGGCAATTTTCCAGTATTTCCTCGCTCCCTCAGCTCCATACAGCAAGAGCTTGTCTATATTGGGATCTCATGACAACTCATTTGAAGTAACTAGAGCCTTGTCTGCACTGGGAAGTCATAGAAAAATTAGCATGGAATATCTGCTACATGTGCAGTGGCTATTCTGCATTAATTTTCTGTGTGAATACTTCTATTCAGCACTAGATATTCACCCTACCCCTCTTCTCCCCTCCTTTTGGAGGTAAGAACCAACAACTCAAAGATATACATTATAGTATCTCCATCAACTGTTTCCTCTTTCACAATGTTTTTAAAACGCAATATGTTACATCAAGTCTCACAAGAAGAGCTTCAAACAAGTTCTATTCACTTCAGTTCTGAATGCAAGCATTTATGCAAATTTTTAATGTAGTTTAACTACTCTGCTGAGTCCAAAACTTCAGATAATTCAGATCAACTGTCCTGGATTATCCCTTGGTAGACAAGCTGCAAATGAGGCAAAAGTCTGTCATTTTTCATGCCATTTCATCCAACACAAACACAAGCCACTTAAATTATTTAGAATATGAAATACATTTAGTTCAGATACTGCTTTCAAACTAAAGCAGCTAAGATTTGGTCAGTTTTAATTGTTCTCCTCTTGCATGGCTTTCTATGACAGCATTTCCTCATTTTAGCATATGAATTCCCACTAAAATTTGAAAGCGTAAAAGCCATCAAAGCTTGTGCTTTTCTGTTGTAAAATTTAGTTCAAGAATGTCTTCATCTATTTAATGTAGTATTCTTGAACACAAATTAGATACAAAGTACAAACTTCTCATTCAGGTTGATACCTCATGACTCCTTACAACATGAGAGCCCCAAACAGTCATATTAATTCTACCATCAGGACAGAGCAGCAAGGAAATTAATTTTCACATATTTTCACTATGTTGGATTTCTGCTGTTTACATTTCTCCTCCCTAGCGCGCAGAGTGAAGCAATCTGTAAAGACTGCTTTATACCATCAAACCAACAAATCTCTTAGACACACAGCTACCAGAACCAGTATGGTTCTGCAGAAGGATAGGGAATTCTGATGTATACCTCAAGGGGACTTCAGGATGAGAAAAGCCAATGAATTAAATTGTATGATGTTAATTGCTATATAACACTGAATATCCTCACTTCTGTGGTGGCTACATGCACATCACTTCACTGGACACCTTGCAGTACTTTGGATTCGGGGACCTGAATTCGACTCCATTTTGACTGCTGTACCAAGGGTATTACAGTAAAAACCACCCAAATTAGTGAAGAATACATTTTGATGAAACTGGATCAGAGTAGCAGTAAGAGAATCAGAATTGGCTTCAGCATGCAACAATCCAACACCATCTTTCTGCCCTGAAAGACTGTTACGAAAGATGGAGCCCAACTCATGGACTAAATGAACTCAACAGATGCTTTATAGGGACGGCCCATAGACTAAGGGAACAGTATCTGTGTATCTATATCAAAAGACCAGGAAAGGTGGTGGTGTATTGGAATGTGTGGGACCTGGGCATGATGGGTATGGAATAAGGGGTGGATACTATCCCAGTTTCAGTGGGATACAGTTAATTTTCTTCCCAGTACCTGGTACAGTGCTGTGGGTTTGGATTTACTCTGAGAATAATGCTGGTAACACACTGATGTTTTAGTTGCTGCTGAGCAGGGCTTACTCTAATCAAGGACTTTTGAGTTTCCCATGCTCTGCCAGCAAGGAGGGATGCGAGAAGCTGGGAGGGAGCCGAGATAGGATTCCTAACCTGAACTAGCCAAAGGGCTATTCCATACCATAGAACCTCATGATCAGTATAGGAACTGCAGGAAATGAGTGAGTGGCTGTGTGGTGCTTAGTTGCTGGCTGGAGTTAAACCATGACAGTCCAGCAGTGACCTGAAGCCATCTTGCAGAGGCATGAACTGCATATCTGTTCATAAGGAGATCCAAGTTTTGACAAAATATGGAACTAGCATCACTTGGTATCCCAGGATACTGTTAAGTAAACGTGCTGCCTGGGTAGATGGTGGTGGTAGAGATGAACACAATCTCTTCTAGAGATTATTTCTGATGCATAAATTGCAGTGTGCTACGTGGCACCAGGAAATAAAAGCCACTTCCCCAGGCTTGCTATTGTTTTTTTTGACTTCCCACACGTGAGTCACTTCATTTTCACAAGCTTGTTTTTCCCTCCACTTATAGAGCAGGAATGTAATAGTTAGACACTCTGATGGTAACTAAGATTTGCTCCTGAAAAATGCTTTCTAAATAGTCCTAAGGCTACCCTAACAGCCAATTCCACAGAATCAGTCCAGGTCTCCTAACCCACCATGGGCAAAATACTGGCAGGTAAAGTGGGACCTTGAACCGGGTAACGCTGACCCTGCAGTAAAGTGGCACTGCATGTTTACTCATGTATTAGCCTTTTTTTTTTTTTTTTAAGGCTTGCAGTTCTTTTGGAGGATTGGAGGACTAGCAGTGATTAGATAATCACTGTGCTATTAATATAAGCTTATATTAACTAGTTGCTATTTTCTTCTTACACAAAAACAGACACGCATTTAATATATTGGGAGAGGCTTGCAAAAGCGGCGGACATTATAATAGTGCAAAAGCTGACCACTGTGAGGAAGGACACAAAGTAAGAACTCCAAATATACCCTGGGATAGCCAAATGCTCTTTTCTGAAGAAAAAATATTCTGAAAGAATGAAAGAAAGAAAGAGAGAGAGCTCTTCCACATTAAAATGAGGAAGAAATATATTTTAAGAAGTAGAAAATATGAACAAGAAAGCAAGGAGTGGCAGAGGGGATGACATGGGGCAGTCTTCAGGATGAATACATTCTTCTAAGAAATGCCTCTACATTCCAACTTCATTACAATGTTGTATTTCAGGTTACCCATTCATGTTAACATACTTGGCTATACCAACACCATGACTTTGGAGTACTATTATCTGTACTTGGTTAGAGTGGCATGTAGGCTCTCAGCTTAAGTGTCTGCAGAAATGAAAACATTAAAATCTCACGATAAACTGCTGCCTGTACTGTAGCTGCCTGTATTTGATCAAATCCAAAACTGTATGCAACTGAAAGTAAAAAATAAATTTAAATTTGAGCTCTCATTGGTATTTTGTTTCCTCATTCAGGACAGTGAAAAGGAGAAGCCTCATTTCAAAAATTAAGCTATATTTGTTGTAACAGAAGACAGAGCATATTCAAGGCTCTATACTGTAAGATCTCTTTATTCCATTTTCAATTCCATTTCTGACCCAAATCACACCAAAAGCAAGGTGTCACACACCTTCTTGCTGGAAAATATATTTCTCCCAAAGCAGAAAATCCAACATAACGAGATTTTTGCCTTCCCATTTTCTTTTTAATCTGTCCTCCTATGGGTGGCTAGCAACTCTCCCCAGAGATACATACTTTCTTGCTTATAAAGTGGAAGATCACAGGCAGTTTAGACACACAGAAAGGACTGTGAACACACAGGATATAAAGCAATTTTAAATAAAACTGATCAGTGAACATAAAAAAATAGTTTTAAGTACTGACCTCAGCCAATGGACCTTTCTCTGCTTACAATATTCCTCTCCTTACAGTATTCCTCTCCTTTCTTTTTTTCAAATTATCTTTAAGGAATGACAATGGCAATGCACTTTTAGGTACAGAAAGCGGATTGTGTATTTATCAGGCTTTTTTGTTGTGGTTTTTTTTTGTTGTTTTTTTGTTGTTGTTGTTTTTGTTTTTTTTTTTTAAGTAGCTTAAAAGAATCCAACTTGGTCTCATTTGTTTGGACTTACAGTGGGTACACAGTTCTATGATAACCAGGCGTCACAGGTCTCTGGAGAGGTTCATCTATACTTTGATGGACACCAGGAAACACCTTCTTCTTGGTTTTTGGAGTATGAGTCATTATCTGATACACAGAAAATAAAGAAATGAGAGGAGAAGGGGGGGCCCAAGAAGAGAATGCAGTTGAAAAAAAGGTAACAGAAGCCTTAGAAAAAATTCTATAGGAGCACTGCATCAGAAACTTAAGCTGCATTTTAATATCACTAGATAAAGTAGTGCCCAGAATCACTGTAGGCCTTTCCATGACCTCTCATCTTGGGTCACATTTCCATCATCAGCATTGGCAGACCTATGGATTCTGAGGTCCAGAAGACATACAGTCACAGCATCATAGAATGGTTTCGGTTGGAAGGGACCTTAAAGATCATCTAGTTCCACCCACCCTGCACAGGCAGGTTGCTCCACTAGATCAGGTTGCTCAAAAGCCAACCAACCTGGCGCTGAACACTGCCAGATATGGGGCATCCACAACTGCTATGGGCAACTTGTTTTCTGGTGTCTCACCAGCCTCACAGTAAAGAGTTTCTTCCTAATATCTAATCTAAATGAACCCTCTTTCAGTTTAAAGGCATTCTCCCTTGTCCTATCCCCACATGCCCATGTAAAAAAGTCCCTCTCCAGATTTCTTCGGAGCCCCTTTAGGCACTGGAAGCTGCTCTAAGGCATCCCTGGAGCCTTCTCCAGGCTGAACAACCTCAGTTCTCTCAGCCTGTCTTCACAGGAGAGGTGCTCCAGCCCTCTGAACATCTCAAATTAGTCACAGCACACTAAATGGCATTCATGCAAACTTTATGCTTTTTTTTACTTAATGGCTTTTTGCTGCTTGAGGTAAGACGTACAATACTTGATCTGGCATAATGCCTCCAGGAGCAGTTAACTTTTCAACTTCTTTTTTTTCCCCAATTTTTTGTCAAAATCATTTTAGACCAGCAGAGTGTTCCACTATTAACTTTCTCAGCACTTTGCTTTGTGTGCTCACAGCGTCACTGATGTAGCACTAGAACCCTAAGGCTGGCTTTAGCTTATTATTAAGCCACAGACCTCCCACCTCCTGTGAACCTTTCTCAAACTTATTCTACTTCATCTAAACAGCAGGTGTAAAAAGATCTGGACTGCCATACAGGTAGAACCCAGCTCTTCCAGCAACAGATTGAAGAAATTGTTTTAGAAAGTGATGAAATTACTGAAATTAAGCACTTAATCCAGCAAAATAATTTATTTCAAGATCCTAATGAGTGGTACTCACTCCCAAGTACTCAGTTGTTAGCAGCTTCTCTCCTGTAAGTTCTCCCAGTTGAGGCTGCAAAACCTCATCTTTGTCCAGATCAGCCTCCATGATGTCATGGTCCTCCTGCCAGACCAACATGCATGTTATTTGAGCCCACTTTACAGGAGGTTTTTAGTTCAAATTTAGTTCTCACTTCAGTAGTAATTTTGATATGCACTGCACATGTAAGTGGTAATGTACTAGCATTTCACACCAAAAAAGCAGACATCTAAAGACACATTCACCTAAATTTTCTATATAACCAGAAACTAAAGAATCCCGAGAGAAGAAAAAAACCCACCACTTTTTCCACTAAGTCTATGCCAAAATGTACAGTATGCATTTTAGAAGTTGTTCTTCAAATTTCTGCTTCAGACAATTATTCCTTGCTTGACCTAATAGAGGCTCAGGAAAAATCTCGGTCATTAGTATCTCTATTGAAAATTGCATATTAGTCTGAAGAGACACAATGCTCTGTCCTCAGCAAGCAGCTGATATGAAATCTGAAGTTTTAGTTTTTGCAGATCTGCCCAAGTCAATTTAGTCATAAAGCACAGGCAAAAAAAAACAAAAACAAAAACAAAAACAAAAAATAAAAAAAAAGAAAAAAGGCACAAGAAAGTTTGAAGTTATCACTCAAGCAAAGAGGAAACTTGATAGAAAACTTATCTGGATTTTGTTACGTGTCAGTACCCTCTAAGTAATAAAAGCATAAATTTAAGTTAGACTGTAACAACTAGCAGTAAAAATAAAGTAAGTGCACCTTAATACAATTCATAGACATTCCTGAAGATAATGCTAGCATTCCATGAGATCAAAATGTCCATATGGATATTCAGCACTTTGTGGTATATCCCTCTCCCTTGACAAAAACACTGAAATAATTTATTGCCTTTTGTTTCCCAAGAAGGAAAAAACAAAATAAGAACACCCCCCCCCCCCAAGAAAAACCCTCCAAACCCAAACCAAACAAAAAATACCAAACCAACCAAACCCTGAACGTTTTTACTTATTTTCAAGAAATAGAGGCATAATGCGTAATCACCTAAGACAAAAAAAAAATCCTTACTGAGGTTCATTCAGAATCACTCCTCAAACAGTGGCTCCTGTAAGGTGAGACCATGGGTGTCCAACAGGAATTTTTCTAGAGCAATGTGAAGCAGCAGCAGCACCACCTACTCAGATTTGCAAGGAAGCTTTAAAGCTTACAATATCGGGCTGGTACAAAATTCTTGGAATCAGTACTTTAGTATACAAATACTCTACAACAAGGCAACAATCTCTGTTGACTTTATTCCATAAAAATCAAATGTAATTAACCAACTTCTCAAGTGAAAAGTACCAATAATTCACTCTCTTGTGCCTATTTCTAGTTTAACTATGGGTGATTCATCTTTCATGGAAGTAATGTAGAGAGTGTAGCATAAGCTCCATTAAAAACAATGGCCACTGAACTTTGATGAGCTCTGGAGCACAAACAAAACGAAAAGCACTTTCACTTTAGTGAGATTCAAACTCAAATACTTTTAAATAGCCAAATTAAGAAATGCCTTCTGCCACAAAGATTAGCCAATAATATGGATGCTTGGACAGTGCTCTACAAAAACAGCACAAGGAAAAAAGATGTTGGAAATGTGTACAGGGAAGGTTTTTCCTACAATGGAAATGCCTGACTGATTCCAGTCTTTGTCCTGTGTAAAATAACAGGACTGCCATCGCTCAAATGAAGTAGGTGTTGGCTTCCACACAGCTCTACAGGCTTGCCTTTTTTCAAGTTTAATGATCTCTGTAACAAATGGCTTAAAACCATAGTTTTTATTTTGATGTAGTTATTCTCATTGCTCATCACCTCCTTATTCACAGGCGTCAAGCAGAGATAAAAAGTACAGGCACAAGGTGCTCAATTCAGTAGCCCACACCACCATCCAATTCTTCTTTGAAATATCCTGCCTAGTATTCCACTGTGGCTCTGAAAGGGCACAAGCCTCCCAGAGGTCCCAAGTCATATCCATCAGGCTTGAGCAGGTGCTTTTGATGCTGCAGTTAAATTTAAGAGACATTAGATGCCTGTGTGTGAACAACTGAAACAGTTACAGAAACACTGCCAATAATCCACAGTGTTCTATGGGTTGGAGTAAATTTTTTCCATGATTATTTGTTCATGTACCATTTTAATAAAAGTCTAGTTCTTCCGTCAGTGCCTTGAAAATACCAGACTGCTAATCCTCTGCATCCTCCTAAATATCTATTCTTTCACTGCTCAGCTATACAAGATGAGGCTGTATAGGACCTCAGGAAGATGTTCAATCTGCCTTTCTCTCCAAGACAAGTTACAATCAGCTCCTAATTATCTGGGAAGCTGGGTAGGTGTGAAAAATAACCCAGATAATAGAAAACCACAGATAAAACACTTGTAAGCTAGTCAATAATTATCTGCATCAAGCAAAACAAAACCACACTCCAAGCTCCACAATATCCTGTATTAAAAAAAAAAAAAAATTAATTAAAAACTGCAAAGATGAGTTTTATAGTCCGGTAGATTTTTTTTTTTTTTTAATATGGTATGCTAATACAGCATCCAAAGGTAACAGTTTTGTTTAAGGATGCTTTACAAGAGACTGCCTACACTGTGCGTGGGGAGACTGTTACACATCACAGCCAGAATATCACCCCGTTCTTCCATCCAGCTCTCTGCATTCATGATGTATTTAACTTCTCCTCACAGTTCACCCTGGTTTCTCCAGGTTCCACCTCTTCCAGTATTCTGGTTGACACATCTTGTCAGATAGAGAACACCAGTTTCTAGTTTCTGGGAAGTGCCTCCCACTGCAACCTTGCTCCCTGACGTTATTTAACATGCCAGGTAGCTGAGCCTGAATGTGTCCCTCCTCTGCCTTCCTGTACTGAAAAAGGGCTTTGACACATGCCATCATTCCACTGCTGAAATAACACGGTGCCCTGTTCACCATTGCTCACTGGCTGCAGCAGATGTTGGCAGCAAAGTTCTTTAATGTAATGGCTTGAAGTCCTGTGACTAGGTTTGTGATTAAGCTCTCCTTCTTTTGATGTACTCTCTAGCTGAAGTGTATTTTCACACCACCGTTTACTGATTTTATTGCCAGGTGCTGAATGATGTGGGATCACAAGGTGTCTGATAAATTGTCACTGTACAATTACCTAACACAGCTCAAGTTTGTAACTAAACTTCTGAATTAAAGCTATGATATCATATACTCCCTTTTACAAGCAGCTTTTAAAGATGGCCTAAGCCAAATAAAAAGCAAATGTAAAGATCAAATACTGAAGACAAGTTAGTATTTAACAGAACAGTCAAGAGAATATTAAGCACCAGAAAATATGCACTGTGACTGTGGATGTCAACACACCCCAGACTGCTAATGTACCAAAGGTGGGTATGTACTCCAGAAGCTGGTGCATCCTGAGCTCTACGCTAGTTAATGTAAAGTTCAGCACACAAACCCAAAAATTATTTCTGAATAACACATACGGGAAACATAGACATTTTTTATTCAGTTTAATTGCCCCAGTGTCACACATCACAGAATATTACATTTCTGAGTGTATAATGCCCTTGGAAATGCCAGAATTATCCTTCAAGCTCAACCACATCTCGACAGCAGTGTTTAGGAGAAAGTAGCCATTACTACTACATTACTCAAAAGCAAGAGAGAACTGAACAACTCTAAATTAAACAGAAATAGTAACAAAAAATAACCCATGAAGGTAATAGTAATAGCATGGGGATCCTTTGCATGCTCTTGGAAACAATAAAACCTGGGGCAAAAGCAGCAAACTAAGTCTGAATAACAGTGTCTTTTTGTTGCTTTTTAAATTGTGAAGGTACAAATACTGGTACTGAGTGGATAAGCAACAAATTGTAGTATTAGTAAGCAGTTTAATTGCATGTCACTAAATTGGCAATATATGGCCATATTCTGAAATACATTCAGTCTGTAGTAGTTTAAAAGTTACATAAAGGCAAGACTTCTGATACTGTTTTCCAAAACTTTCTGTTGCCAGATCACATCAGATGTTATCACAGAACCCCATCAAACAATAAACTCACTGCATTTCCAAAATACAAAAGGGCTCTAAGCCTTGATGCAGTAAGTCAACAAATCCTTGCTTATTTAACAAAGTAACAATATTATGCATTTTGCTGCCATTTTGTTTGTAAATTATGTTTTCTAAGCTTAGGAACTAAGAAACCAGGCATTCTCGCAGCAGAATGGAATTACAGTTCCCAGCAGCAGTAAGGATTTATAATCTGCCAGAATTAATGTTACATTGGAAACAATTTTAAAATTGGCTTAATGAGACTTTTTCTTACAGTGGCAAAGCTAATGAAAATTGGAATCAGACACTTCTCTGTTTCAAAATTTGAGTCAAGTAACAAGAAGCTACAGAACTTCGTTTTAATCACATAATGGTTCAGTAGTAAAAAACACATTCCAAAATGATATGATCTAGAGCCTTGGCTGGGACTGGGAGCAGCAGCAACTTGTGTAGGTGGTATGACTGAATAGGAGAATTCACCTTCCTTCAATTCCCAAGAGCAGGTAAATTAATGAAAGTGTTCAACACTATCATACAATTTAATGTCACACCTCTCACAGAGGAGCTCCTTATCTACGTGCTTTGCCAACAGAACACTGGATGCTTCAAAAAAGTATACTATAGTACAAGCGAAAATACCACCACCTTGGATTCTCATGACACACCTAAAACACTTCAACCCTTGGAACATGAGTTAAAGGTGTTAAGTAGCATATTAAACAAAGTTAAGTAAAAATTATTAATCCCCAGAAAGCCCATCTTGCATAGCAAGCACTGATTTTGGGTGTGACAAGTGGAAAAGAGTACAGAAAACTCACTACAGGACTGCAGGAAGTGGAACAAGTACACTAATCTAATCCTATTAGGAAAAAATAAAACAAAACACAACCAAAACTGTTTAATGTACCCCCCGGAACAAAATGGGGAGAGCCAATTGTTAAAAAAACTTCCTTGTAGCCTCAAACTTAAGAATTTCCACACAGCTCTAAATTTAGGCAGTCACAAGGGTAATTATAATTAGTTCACGTGTTCACTACCTATTGTGCCACAACACAGAAACTGGGTAAATAATGCAAACAGTGCAAAAATTCCCAGGACACTGCCAGGCAAAGGCTAGATCCTGCAAGGTGCTGCACCCCATGGCAGCTGAGAGCACACCACACCTATTACAACTGGGATATTCACATTTTTCTCTGCTTTCAAAACAAAAGGCTCAACATGCACTTGAAAATGCATTCAGTCACTCTGGAGTAACAGTCAAGTTTTAGACTGTAGCATGGTTGTCGCTGTACACTAGCATCTGTGTTCACGTTCAACAGGCTAGTACAATGTGGATGCAACTGACTTGTTAAGTTTTATGTGTCTTATTCTTTGCTGGTTCAGGACAAAAACCTTCCATTTTATCTGAAAACTTGTTTTTCAGTAAATATTTCTAATACAAGTAGGTTTTGCAGAGATCAATAACTCCCAATGTCATTGACTTCTTCAGGGTAAATACACGATATATATATAGATACACATACATGTGCGCCTATACACCCACCTATGTTCAAACACTGCTTCAAGGACATATAGCTCTTCTTCCAAATTTCTCATATAGCACTTTCCAATAAAAGAAAAATGGTATGTGGTAGACTTCTTTCAGTTAAAACTCCCATGTTAACTGCCTGTACAGTATATTTTCTACTCCCTCCCTGCCCCTCCATGCACTTAGGGTAATGTAGCAATGGCCAACATCACCAGCGAAGATTGGGTTTAACATTTCCCTTATGTAATTTACATCTTGCTTTGCTTGTTAACTCAGATGATCGAATATGCTGTGCTGTCTACACCTGGGAACCCATTACTCTCTGAAGACAGCTTCTTAAAAAACGCTTCAGTATTGGTATAAAATGCACTTACTAGCAGAGTTGGAAATAGGCAGCTAACCACTTTATATTTATTACTAGATAGTTTCTCATGCTTGCTTTCTCAATTTTTAAAATTTTATTCTCTTATGGGACTTATTAATTTGTAATTACTCTTTTCCTTCATTACATATAGACAATTTTTGAAATACATTTCAAAGTTTCTAAACAGCAAAAGAAGTCATCACACCCCAAACAGATTATGACACCTTTAAAAGTAGTGACAACCTGCTTACAAACTATTTCCGTAATATACTGGTTCATTTGCTTCCTTTCTTTTTAATTGCTGAAATGGGTGTACTTGAAAGCAAGATTTCTACTGCTACAGTAACTCATCTCTTTACTTATTTCAAGCTATAATCCTTTAGATATCCACAGTTATCAACAGGTGATTTGCCAAAATAAAAGAGTGGGGCTTCATGAAGAAAAGATAATGGAAACAGATCCAATGTTCTTGTCACTGCAAGAATAATTAAATAAAAGTAAAAAACAAAATCAAAACCCACCAAAATCAAAAAGTCTGATTTACTGACACAAATATTTTCTGTTTAGAAGGCTAAGGATTTTTCTAAAAGGTGCCAGAAAGCCTTTATACTTACTTCCTTATTGTTCTCTTCCTCTTCATCATCAGACACAATACCATCATTTAATGGCTCTTCTAGAAAGAAGCAAAACAAAATGTTTTAAGAGTACATGTACAACTTAATAGAATCTCTAGTTATTGCCCCTCTTTTAAAAGGGTAAGATTCAGCTTGCTTCTTATATAGACATCCTCTTCTATTCAAGACAACTAGCAAAATTATTTGCTCCTATAAAGCATTCCAGAAATTGAAATCAATTCATATTTTGGAAAATGGCAGAAACAGAAACACTGTGTAACAGCTCTTTCCTCATAAATCCCACTACGGCATCTCAGTGTATTTACCGACAAGGCATGAATGAAAGTGTGTTTCTATTTCTCAACAAATTTTTAATAAAAGACTCTACTTCTCACTACAAACTCTTCAGTATTATACTGCTTTGAGACACAAAAAGATAGTACTTGCACAGAATAATTTGTAACTTTTGGAAAAACTTATTTCCTTAGAAAAAAGCAGCCAGGCTTACACTGGAAATCTGTACCCTCAACACTTCTACTCACTGATCAGACAAAACCTTTTAAAAATAGCATTCACAGGCAGAAGAGGAGCAATTCTATAATCTTCATGAACAACTTCATGTACAGTGGCAATACAGTGCTTAACAAGCATTTTTAAAAAGAAATCGTATCACCTGTTTATTTTTGCAGTTGACAGCAGTCTCTCATTACTGTGAGGCCACTGGCAAGAAAGCAAACAGTCAAGGTCATTCTATTTAGAGTCCCAAAACTTTGGAATTCGACTTACTCATCCTTTTATTTCTTCTTTATAATTGTGGCACAAAAGGATATTTTAAAATACATCTGACATTCAAATCCTGACATTCACTATTCACGCTCTCTCAGACCATCACACTATTATTATTCTCTGAGAGTTTCAATGCCAAGTAAAAACATGAGCTTTCTTATGGCTTTTGTGAAAGATTTACAGCTCAGATCTGTTCTTCTGACCTGAATTGAGCTGCCTGATTATATATTCAGTCTGTCGGATCATCTCTGCATTTCCTTCCTTGACAAAGCAGCGCAGAATTTCTTCCATTCCCTGGATATAGCGGAAAACATTGCTAGTTTAGCATTTCATGTGATCACAGTGAGAGTATTTTGTTAGCTAAAACATTTCATTTTTGTTAAGAAAAACAGAGGCAATGTGGAACAAACCAATGCGTCCAGCTCTAAGCTCTCCATTTTGTCCACATGCTTCCCAAAGAAATATGCTGTCTGGATTGCTTCTAGGTTTAATTGCAGAAGTACCTACAATGAACAGCAAACTTTTTTCCAATAGATCTGCTGCTTCTGACTTCTGAACTCAGCACACAGTAGTCAATAGAAAATTTGCATTCACAGATACAACAGTGCAAGGTTCAGAGAAGGAAAGCAAAAAGCAGGACAAACTTTGACCTTCTCTTAAATTCAGTTTCTCTCTTTATGGCCCCTTACAGGTTTGATGTTGCATCTTTAATCATTTAAGATGACTTCCAGTCCTCTGTGCTCTGTGAGGTAACACATCTGACAACAATTATGTTTGCATAGCTCCCTAGGTTAGTTCTTAAGATAAAAATATACACTGGTATCCCAAGAACAGCTTCCTTAAATCCAGAAGTTAAAACACATTCATTACCATTAGACTAACTTTCACAGGAGATAAGTTCCCAGTTTTGCTTAAACCTCCCTCCTGCCACCTTCACCATCTAACTATGTCTATTACCAGGCAGAAAGAAAAACAGCAAGAGGAACCCACCCTCTTAGTGATTATTTGCTGGTGCCGAATAAGTTAAATAAAGGGAAGAAATAGCAGGTCGCATGGTAGCATCTCCTAAGCCAGTCTATGAAATGCTAGATGGACAAGACTATTTTGAAAATAACACCTTTAATTTATAATTTAGGCAGAATCCTTCACACTGTTGGGGCTTCACTTCTGGGAAAAGACCAGCAAATATAGCAGTTTGTGACCTACATTCATACCTGCCTGAATACTAGGTATGAAAAGTGGAGAGTCTCTTGGGGATTCCCTTCTCAAAATGCCATGGCTCCTACCTCACAACCCTGCTGCACACTGAGCAACAGGTACCTGTATACATGCCATCTGGCACATGCATTGATGTTTCTGCTATGCAAAGCAGCACTTCTTACCATTGCTCTGGCTTCTTCTCGGACAGAAGGGATGGCAAGAATGCTGTAGAGTGCTCCATTCACATATGGTTGTATCTAAGAGGAAGAAATAATCATACCATAAGAAAAACTCTTACGCTCACCCCAGTTGCCTATAACCAACATTTAAGAGAGAAGTGCAGAACTACGTTCAAGGAATGTAATCAGGCTAGCCCGCACTTGCAAAAATTTCCACTTGGGAAGCGGTCAACTTTTAGGATGTAAATATACTGTCATATATTTGATTTAAATCAGTACTGCCACATGTCGATTTCCTCCACAAGCCTTCTGAAGCTGTATTCTTGTAAACTGACCTAGCCTTACAAAACAAAAAAAAAAAGAAAAAATGAAAAAAAGAAATGGAGAAGGTTAGTTTCTGACAAACACTAGTGGCAGTACAAAAAAAGAGAGGACAAAGAACAGGGACAAGACCGACAGCATGAACTCAAAACAGGCTACAGGCATTGTGGCTGTAACAGGTTCAAACATTCTCTCACTCTGCTACCTGTATACCATCCCTCAGTAGAGGCAGAAAAAGAGCCAGGATGAAAGCTCTGTATTATGGCTAGTTAAAGCCACCAGATCTGTCAAACTAGTTTTATCAGCACTTATGTGATCTTTTGTATTGGCCAGTTACTTTTGGAGCACTAAAATTTCCACTCACCCTCTGTCTACATTCTTGGGAAACAAAGAATAAGCCAGGCTGGGAGCAGGGGAAGCAAGGAAAGATAAGGGACTGGGATTTACACAGGGATTCCACAACTTCTCAGAAAGCTCCCTGGACAGCCTTCTACCCTGGACTTTGATAACAAACCTTCTATCAGATGTGCTGGTGCAAACTAGGTTGTAAGAATGTACTCTCTGAAAGAAATTTCAAGGTCATTCTAAGGCACAGACTTCAACAGTACAGTAGCTTTTTCCAAGTACTTCAGTCTAGAGACTGGGATGTTATTGTGTGTTAGTATGTATTGTATTAAACTTTGATCAGTCATAAAAACAAAGCTAGTGGAAGAGTCCAATAAAGGTATGCCAAGTTTCATCTTATTTAAAACAGTGCTAGTAAAGAACTGGTCTACACCTAATGATTTCATAGAACATGGACTAAACACTTGACTGTAATTCATTCTCTATTTTCAAAATAAAAACCCTGATGATACAATCATTGTGTTATAAACATAAGGCACCTAAGTTTACATTATTTTTATTCAAGTCCCCAGACACCTTGCACATTCATCGTAGAATACCCTGGTTAAAATACTGCCTCCCTGATTTCATCTTCATACGATATTTGCCTGCATTTTCTCCTGCCCTGAATTTTACTCCACGGTTAAAGCAGTGCCCCTCTGCAGAGACAGCTGAAGCAATGCTTTGTATAGCAGATAGCAGATACCATAGTGATGTGCTGAAAAGTGTTAGGTAGAAATAAGTAATCTGTTTCAGTTTTTTCCTCTCTGGTAGTTTAATTTAGCATCTAAGATGCAAGTGTGTCTGGAGACAAAAAAGAAACCTCAAAGGAGTTAAGTGGCAGGTTAAATGAAGTGGTAGATAAAAATATATTAGGGCTTGAATGTCACAAGTGTACCATCTTATAATATTCCTTAAAACTACAAAAAAAATTGCTTCTTTGCACCTGATGTTTTGCATAATGGGCTTGTACCACACATTGTTCACCACATGAACTAGTTAAGCTTGAGATGATTGGTGTGAGACAACATGTAAACAGCATCAGAAACTGTGATCAAGAAGGCACATGGATTGCATGTTAACTATGCATCTAAAAGAATCATTCTTAGCTGCCAACATTTGTTAAAGGAAGACGTAATTACGTCTAGAAAGACCAGTACCCAACAAAATAAAATTCACACAATTGTGAATTTCAGGAAAATTTCATGCAACTTAATTACATGAGGGTCTGACAAGGGAAGCAAAACGAATTTACTTTCTTGCATTTCTTCCTTAATTTTTCTTTCCACCTTTTCATTAACCCAACTGTAGTCATACAAATACCTCATGATTCTCGTGGCCAAGAAGATCAGAGAGAACTCTGAGCACATGGTTTGCAATCTCTGCACACATATTCTTTCCTGCAAAGTGAGAAAACAAATATGCTTGAAAAAAATATAAGACATCAGACCAAACTCCTTTCCTATTTTTTAAAATCAGTACTAAGCATAATTTACATAGAGAATACTATTCCTTGTTCCTGCCAAATGCTGCTCAGCACAACTGAGGTGAAATCAGTGGAGTTACTCTGGATTTATACACTTGTAATGCTGGTCAGGAAGCAACACAAAGGGATTTAAAAAAAATTTAACAGGCATTAGTTTTGCTTATGGCATGCAGTTAATTTTTAACCCTTAAATTACTTTCTTTTATAAAAGAAAACTTACTTTAAGCTCCTTTTAAGTCTCTTGCACATAGGCAGGACCTTATTTTTGTAGGGGGAATCTCTGTGTTGCAGAAGTGAAGCATGCAAGTATTTCACTCTACAAGGTGAAGCTTAAGCTTCTTGCCATTGCTCATCAACTCAGTTCTGACTTTCATTCTGATACACAAATATCTTATACAAGTATAAAGTGTCCTTTGAAAAGTGTGCCTGGAATATAAAAATGACTCACATATGAATAAAAACCAAGAATTGAACCTTAGAGGTTTCTGGTGATTAACCAATTTCTTAATTTTTTAGATTTTGGTGAAGCTGCTCTCCATAGTTTGGCATTCTTGGAAAAAAGATCTGCTCCAAAGCATTGGTTATAACACTTAAATATCTCTGGTCATGTGAATCCTTGCAACTAATTATAATCAGTTGAAAGAAACCAGGTATATCATAAACACAGACTCAAAACCTTCCTTTTCCATTTCTTGGAATTAGCTTGTAATTCAAAATGTAAGACACCTGCACTCCGCAGACAAAGATTCATGAGCAAGGCAACAGAATACGCCAGGGTGTAATCAGACAGGCAATCTGTATCCGTGAGAACATCAACCAGCCAGAAAATGAGCCCATCTTTGATCATTGCTGACTGCAGTGCACGCCTAGGATTAAAAAACCAAACAAACAACAAACAAAACCCACAAAAAACAGACTACAACATGAATAGCTTTCAAATACATTTATAGCTAATATAAGCACATTAAAACTCTACTTCATCTACCTGCCATACACTAGTCTGTCAACAAAAAAAATAATAAATCAACCAACAACCCACAACTACCCATTTTGGTAGAATATTTAAACTAAGGAATCAACAAAGCCTAAACAAATTGAACGTACAGATTCCCATAGGTATAGAGGACTAAAACACATTATTGTTTGGGTGCAGTTTTTTGTGTTTCGCTTTTTTAAATGTGCTAACTGCTAAGGTCAGTTTCTACATTGTTTTGTAGGGCTTCTAAGTCCTAAAATTGCATTTTCAATTGTCTTAAAATTGGTAAAAAAAAAGTCAGTTGTACACAACAGACCTATAAAACAAATTCATTACTGTTTCTGCTATAGGTAAACATAGCACTATAGCATTTTTATACTGTTGATTTGAAAAATGAGATTTTGTTGCTTAAATCTATTTGCTCTTTTCTCTGAAGATTCTTAAATCACAAATTCTTTCAACTCCTGACTACATCAAAAGGAGCATGACCAGCAGGTCAAAGGAGGTGGGTTTCCCCAACATAAGAAGGACATGAAGCTGTTGGAGCAAGGCCAGAGGATTATAAGCCCAAGTATCTGGAATGAGTGTTCTGTAAAATTAAAAGATTAACTGTTATTTTTTAAAAAGTAAAAAATCTTCTATTTTCAGTAGCTTAGTGCCTACACCCCAAAATTCAACTAACTTGTACTATTGACAACTGCTTTAACAGAAAAAACAATTTTCTCCAAGATTGGTTTAGGATTTCGAGCAGTTGGCTATGAAGATTTATTCTCTTTTATTACAAAGATGTATAAGGTATCATGTCAGGAAGCAGTGCAGAATATTACCCACAGCACATGTAAATGTGCTTCATCTACACAAGTTCAATGTGAGGCAAATCCAAAAACAGCCCTCATTCTTCAACAAGCACAAACAAACAAAAACCTCAACCCCTCCCAAACCCAACACAGTCTTAATTTAGACAAAAATAACAAGAACTAAACACATCCATCTACCTCCTTACATTTAGTTAACTATTCAAGGCTGAATATTCCTCCTGAGTATTGTGAAAACAGAGTTCCTAGATCATATTTATTTGATAAATGACAGCAACATCATGCCCTTGACTGCTTTTGCGTGACATTTATTTTATGATGGGCATTTAAGTCAGGCTTCTAATGCAAAAATAAGAAAAAAGACAGCCCATGCATAGACATCTCCAGGAAAGAGGATCAACAGGATGAAGATGAAATCCCTGAAAAATGTTTGCAGAAAGAATAATGAAAACCTTATGCTTTGGAATGTAATGCAACAATTTTTTTCTACGTAGACTCTTCAGAACATTCTACATTAAGATTCTCACTTTGTTCAGTTAAGGAATACATATAAAGCACACAAGGCTATGGCAGGAGATGTACATTTACTTGAGTCTTGACAGGAGGTCAAGGTTAATTCAGTCAGCAAAACTATGTTCTCCCTACTAAGTGACTCTGCTTTCAACAGTCACCAGAGGTTCTGATGATTGTTATAAGAAAATCAAGTGCTCTTCTTTCCTCCCTGAATAGAGCCTAGCTAGCCTGTATTTCCTCTCCAGCTGTCACCACTGTGTGCTGCACTTTCATCACCTGAGGCTGAATTTCTGCAGAGCCCCAAGAACATTCTCCCATGTAAGGGAGTCCTTGTCTTCAGCTTTCAGTCTCTCCTCCAGCATTTGCAGCAATGTTGGGTTCTGAGAAAGGTAGACACGACCTGGTGCAAAAAGTGATGAAAGAACAGATACTATCAGCTTATGACAGAAAAGTTCCTTCTCCTTGGAAAAGTAAGCATATTGACCTCAGTTTCTTCTTGACAAACAACAATCTTGTGCCAAGACCCAAACACACCTTCACAAATGAGTTGTCTAGAAGAGCAGTAGCATTTAATCTAGATACTTGGGGCATCAGAAGCTCACATTGAATCCACTGCTCTTCTTTCAGTGCATGTTTTCTGTTGTATCACAGTTTTGTACACTCTTGGAAAACAACAGATATGTCCAAATTGCTCAAGAAACTAGGTGCCCTCCTGGTATTGACTGAAATGGCATTTCAGTTTCCTAGCAATAGTTAGCTCCTTAAGTAGCACCAAATCTCGAGCTAATTTGCGTCAGGCAGAGATATGAAGCTGCGTACATATGCAACCAAACAGTTAGCAGTGATGCACAAAGTTTATTCAGGTGAGGACCAGGAAGATGAAAGAACAGCTGCACTAACTATTGGTACACAGCCTGGTAGCAGCTCTGCCTACAGGACCTTTAATTAATGGGAAATTATCTTTTTTTTTTTCTTTAACTCTCATGAAGAGACTGAGGACTGTATCAAAAGCAGCCCCTGGGTAAGTTCTCACATAGACCACAAATAAGTCAGAAATGCTGAACATACAGTGTCAAAATTAAAACTTTCCAGATACTGAAAAATTGCATGTAACAAAAGACAGTGAATCCCTAGAAAAATGGTGCAAATAAGGCTCGAAATTTCCACATGCAGTGACACACACTTGTGAAGTACCTATAAGCCAGCATTACATTATATGATTTTTTTAAGCAAAACTTTACCTTCTGACAGTGAAGCAAAAGCATTGATGAGCCTTGCCATATACTGCCTGACTACCACACTTGTAGAATGTAATAATTTGAGGACACTTCTCTGAAAAACGAAACAAGCATTAATAAAAGAAATCACCGAAGGAGGAAAAAACCCAAGGCAAGTCTTCTATGTTTCAAAAGCTTTGTTAAATTTTCACAACAATCTTTGTATACATATTGATACCTTAAATACTCTCAATATGATTTAAAATTTCCCAGTTACCTTTTTTATTGATAGGTGCTGAGGGAAAGATGCAAAAGAAAGAAAATTATAGCTCCTCAGCTCAGTTGGTTAAAACACCATTGAGATGTAGGGAGGGAATTAAAATGAACAACACTGTTATCAGTTAAAGCTGATATCTAAAATGAGTATTTAGTCAGTGACAAGAAAAATCAACAAACTCCTAATTTTACTGATAAATGTAAATTCTGTAATGTTACCTGAATGATTTTTTTTGACTACTAAGAGTGTGAGAAAGCAGCTCAGTAACTTACCAAGAATACCACATTGCAAGCTATTTACAATCTGTTTTACTTCAGGCATTACTTATACATAACTCCCCTCTTACAGAAACTCACAGGGAGAAAACCATATCATTCATTAAATAATCCTTTAAGTAATAGTACAAGTGACTGTTGCAATGACAATGGAGGCTACAACATAACAAGCAGGCCCACTGCTTCCAACAACTGAAGAATTCAACCATGCACAAAATTCACTATTACAAGAGAAAAAAAAAAAAATCACACTTTTGTTAGCAATAGCATTGGTTTATCAGTGACTGAAACACCCTTTCACAATCAACAGGCCAGCAATTCCCCTTTCTAAAGAAAGGTAAGAATCCATTCTAAATTCATGGAAATACTGCTGAACATGCAGTTACAAGTGCATAATCAGACATTCTACAGAGGTATTGAGACTGAAGTCCTAATTTAGTTCTTATCCTCGATCAGTGAAATGGATTGAGTGTATTATCTAACAATACATAATCACTCAAAAAGAGACATAGCATCTGATAAGCAAGAGCTAACTCCTAAATAAGGACCTGGGTAGGCATCTGCTCAACCCACAGACTTTAAGCAGCAGGAGAGGTAACAAACTTCCGCTTGTCTGCAAGAACTGTATCTACATTGAGAGCTCTTGTAACGCAAAGCTTTGCCCATCAACATTTAAAGGCTGAGATGCTGAAGTTAAATGTATCACATGATTTTGGCACTTTTTAAAATTCCCTTCCAGAGGGTGATAAAACTTTCTGTTCAGTTTATAGAAACAAATGAGCAGTATCCCACAGGAGTTGGAAGAAAACCCTTTCCAGCTGACCTGACAGTTGCTGTGGCAATCTAGGAGGTCATTACTGATGTAGGCTTGCAAGACAGTATCCCTCTGTTCTCCAGGATATGATTTTGTCAAGCGCTAAAATAAATAACAACATAAATAAGCCAGTCAAATAAATGGTAACATGAATGATGACCACTGAAGATTTTAAATGTGATGATACCCCATACCTGAGAAACCTCTTCTCATGGGGAGAAGCAATTCAACCTCAATGATCTAAGAGACAAAGAGATGAACTGACCTGACCTCAGCTAAGTGATCCATTAAAAAACTGTTATGTGGGAGCTGTCACCACTGTGACAGGAAGGATACAGCATTACTTTCCATAAAGTTAAAAAGTGGTGCTTTTCTAAAACACATGAGACAGAGTACCGGGGAAGAAGAATCATTGCTCTAGACCCAATGGATGTTTTTTTTAGTGAAAATGAACATTGAAGCTTGATCACAATTCTTCTATTGCAGTCTTTCATGTCTGTCATTTTGAACCCATGAGCTTCCTTTTCAGCAGGAAAATGTAACTTCCTGTTGTCACCTTCTTTTTTTAATAAAACATCATTACATGATCTGAGTCAACCAAAAGGCAGGATCTTGTAGAATATCTTGATTATAAAGGAAAACTGGTGATTAGAGTCAAGTATTTCTTAGATATAGCAATATTTATATAAATGCAAACCAGGGCAATACATGTTAAAAAGCAGCTGCCTAAACCAAGAAAAATTTCTTTGAAAACACATCAGAAATTACTTTCACTGAAGATCCCAGAAATTCCTATCTGGCTTTCCTTGGATGAAGACAACACAGTTACAAATAGATACCTACTGCCTGGGGTTTCTTCATCATCTCAAGAACGTTAGCAAGCTTCACTGACAAAAAGACAAGTTACCTATGATGACAATCATCTTGCTTGCAAAACAGATTTCAATTCTGGATTCCTACAGAAAGGACCTATTTCTTTTCTACAGAAGCCTTCTCCCTTACCCAGCGCAGAGCCTGCAGTAAGAAGGCCTTGAGACGATCATTCCCTGTAATCAAATCTTTCTTCACCTTCTCATAATCCAAAGAGGGCAACAAAGGCACATCCTGCATCTTCCTACAATGCAACAGGGAAAGACATTCATCAAAACTCTCCCTCTTTATTCAGTATGGCTGATGTTACTGAGGTGAGGAGAGCCAAAACAGGAAGTCTGCTTCAGGAAAAGAGCTTCCACATTTTTACACCTTTGTTACTTTTATTACCATTACCACTTTGGAACAACAGACTTTTTTAAACTTGGACTTTTTCACTATGCATGCAGCTTATTTACTGTCATAGCTTGCAGACACTAAATGCTGACAATGGATGATCTGAGCTTTTTCACAGCACAAAACAGTACAATAACATTTTTTTTTCCTCTCTCTGCAGACCACAAAGGCATGAGGGCAGCCGCTTATGGCTGTTAGCATGGTTATAAACAGACACAGTAACAAGCTGCAGCTACAACTTCACCTCTAAACCCTCAAGCACACAGAAATGTCTTCTCCAAGACAAAGGAGGGAGGCTGAACAGATTTTTACAGGTTGAACTATGCTGGCTTAACATAAGACTTAACACAGGACCAATTTCCATTCACCAGTACTATCTTGCTATTTTGAGTTTTCACACTGTAACAGAAGTTTCCCTAAACAAAACTGCTTTCAGTCGATGCTTTAATTTTAGTATTTATATACCACTAAAAAATTTTTACTCCTAGCTTCCTGTCCTACCACTCCTAAAAACAGATTTTGTGTTATATGTGTAATTGTCCCTTTAACTATCTTGTAAACAATAAAAGCATCAAAACAGCATATAAAAAATTTAATAAAACCTTTAGCTCAGATATACCATCTCTATTAGATCTTATAAATCAAAATGTAGTAAGTTACAAAAAAAATTAAACTTGAAGTACCCCAAAATCCACATTACCAATTCCCCCTTTTTCTGGATTTGTGGATTTGCAAACCATTTACAACAACAGGACTGTAATGTGTAGAAACAGTAAAGAAAACACAGCAACCAACTCACAGGTGTGGAGTGGCAGATTTGCTGGATTAGCAACATCCTGCTGAAATTAGAATGTAACTGAACCTGCTCTACAGAAGCATACAGGCCACATATTTGCATTTACTGTTCACTGAGTTCAGAGGAAGCACACAGGGGATGAGTGGTTCCCATTTGCAGACAACTGGCAGTGCACTTCAGTTTACAAACAACTCCTCCTGTTCTCTATAGATATAAATGAAGCTCAGCAATAAATACTTACACAGGGGCTATAGATGCTCTTAACATAGTGGAAGCCTGGATCAGAAAAAGGAAGAAAAGGAAATAGTAACAGATTAGTCCAAATTTCACACCAGCAGTGTTACTAATGAACGTCATGCAGAGAATTCTTTCACTGAGGTTCTGCAGTTCTTTTCCTATAAAACTTACGTTACAAAATAGAAACACAGCTAAAGAAAGAGAGGACTTCAGTGTTTATCTTTCTTTCTCTTAGTGTTTCACAGGTAAATACCTCTTTTGTTATGATCTGGCTATGTTATCTTCACTGTCATACTCTAAAAATTACCTACACTTGAAGGATTAAAAAAAAAAAAAGTAAAAGGAAAAAAGTGAGTAGGAACTACCACCTGAAGCCCACTGAGTAAACTGAGGAAGGTAAAGCACTTGTTAAACACATTTATTGACTTCAAAAATGTTAATATCTTAAAGTTTCAGTAAGTTCACTGGAGACCTACCACTGCATCTGAATTTGCTATAATTCTTTGTTTCAACACTAATGTTATCAGAGTACCTGTCACAACTGATATATACCCCATATATAATTATTAATATGTAGAGAAAATATTATATATTTTAGTATGGATAAAACCAGTATGGAATAGCATACTATTTCTCAGTGGTTCTTCCTAGGATAAGTTCAGTGTAAGCCTGGATATTTCCTTTCTGATGCAGTGTGACACAGAGCATATGCAGGTATCACTGCTGAATAAACCAAAATTTAAGAATATCACACCATATAAAAGTTCCATATAAAAGTTGTCTGATTCAGTAACATTCTTTTTCTAGAGCTAATTGTAGGTGAGGCAAGCAGCAGCAATACTGGCACAAGAGTGCTTCATATCATGCATTCTGATGTCAACTACATATCATATTTGCAAAATATTCAGTGTCATCTCTTTGTGTTGATGTTCCTACTCACTTTCTAAAAAATCTCTCATTACCACTGATGCCTTTAAAACTGGTCTTCTCTTCTAACCTAGCCTCTTTCAGTGGGAGCTATATAATCGATGCCTATTGTCAGATTTAAAACTGAGGGATTTAGGAGACAAAAAGCATGAAATACCATAGAGAATATTGAATTACACTAGCTGACATATTCTTGAACACACTACCTCATGGGTATCCTTCGTAATACAAGGAACTGCTCTCTTAGATGTGAAACAAGCTTATACGCACATTGGAAAGCATATTATGTTTAAGTCAATGAATTACTTGCACACAATAGACAACAGGACATACACATCAAAATTAACCTGTCTTGACAGCAGTTCTCAAATCATAGTTTGTTACATAATAGAAATGTCTTTCGAAGTATCATATCTAAACTGCTTTCCCCTTATTTACTTGTACTAATTTTCCTTAGCCTTTTTGATGAATATAAAAAGTTAACTTTTGTTTAAACAAACTGCTTTCCCAGTCAAAACCTTTCATCTTGTACTGGAGTGCTCAGTGAAATCACAAATCATTTTCGTTGCCTTTCTCAGCACCCTTCTTCATTAAAGGAAATGGGAAGAAAGTGACTACAGTCCATTAAGGCAAAAGAGAGAGCCCTTGTAGATGAGAAGGTGAGACAAAGAACAATACTGGGAAAACAAATAGGCAGGTCACTAAGAGTAAACAGATGCATATAAAAGCTTTCTGCTTCTCAACAAAGTCCTTTTTACCCACCACTTCTTTGCTGCCTTAAAAACATGCTCCAACTAAAATGAACTAAAACATATCTAACTGGCAGATATTTAGTGTATATATAATTAGTACATGCATCACCCTTCCACACAAATAAAACTGTTTGGCAAGTGTAAGAGTTTGCAAGATGTTACAAATTTAAAACTACAGAAACTTCAATTAGAAAAGTTTTATCTAAATTCAGATTTAAAAATAAAAAATCAGATCAAGCAGGACAAAGTCCCATTAATTTCCAAATTACTTTGTAAGCTGGCAGATGAAGCACAGCAAACCATTTACTACGGTTTGGCTCTGTGGTCTACCTGCACCAAAAAGGCACCACAGCGAGGCAGACCCTACACCAGAGCTCTGAGGGCAGGACCACCAGGAGAAAGAGCCTTCTTGTCCAACATTTTTTCCTGATTGGACCCAAGTTTATCAGTCTAGAACCTGCACACGGAGAAGGAAGCACTCTCAGGCTTTTGGTGTTTTTGGGAAAACAACAAGAAAACACTTTGTATTATGTCAGATTCAATGAGGCAAAGCAGAAACGGGATCATTTTTTCAGGTTTAGTTTATCTTTCACTGCACTTTCATTTCTGAATCTGATTGACTATGGGCAGCACCACTGATAAGCAGAAAGAATGCAACCACATTACAGGCAGAGATTTCATTTCTTCATTTTTATGATTGCAATTAGTCATTAGTAGCTAATCTGTATCCATCTAGTATGGCATACTGAATGAAACATCAGTTTGGGTCTCAGGAGATCTGCTTCTAGGCCTGACCCAGCTACCAAGTGCAGACAATTGAAACATGTCATTTCACATCTCTGGGACTCAACTTTTCTCATCTGGAAAGCAAAGAGAGGCATAAATCTCTTGAATAAGCTGGGATTTGAGGTCTACCAATGAATGGCAGTATGCAAAAGCTAAAAATTATTATTTTGCAATTAAACAATCAAATGCTTATGGCACAACCACCGCACACAGAAAACCAACATATTTAACTTTCGATCATGGCGGTATGATTCAGCAAAACAAGCTAACAGTAGCTGATACAGTACAGTAACAACCCTGGTTCAAATATTTTCCTGTTTTGGAATTTATCTAGGCCTCTAATTTAAGAATTTTATAAGAATAAGAGTTGCAGTAAAATATGGCTAGAGAATTGTATCGCTGAACATTTTTTGGCGGTTACACAACCCAGGAGATCTCCTGTGTCTTGTAGGCCTACAATTTCAGGGTCTGCACTACTTCGGGTCAGACAGCTGAGGCACCCTGTGAAGCACACAGCCATGCAGCATGCTGAGGGACAGCATTACACACCCTCCATCTATTGCTAAATGGGTCTGAAAAGACTTTCCGCTTTCTGTCAGTTTAATTTTCAAACAAGTGATCAAAGCGCAGTACCACCAAGTGCTGATCATTCAATTCAACACCCAGGCTACCTCTCCCCATAAACTCTCTCAACTTTTCATCTTTTTATTCTTGCTTTTAAAGAGGGAAGACATGTGGCACTCCAGATCCTCAGAGTCCTGCTACCATGCGAGCCTTTCTCCTCCTCATACCATGGCCTTTTCAGCTCCTGCTCCTCGACTACTGCCAGTCTGGCTGGCACCACCTCTGCATCCCTTCCTTTGCTGCTTTTAGCACCTCCTGCAGCAGCAAGGAGTGCCTGCTCCAGCCAATACCCCCGAAAGGCTGTAACAGTTAGTACTGAGCCCCATGCGTCATTCTTAATGCTGGCAGATTTCACAGTTGGAAGCAGCAGTCTCAGCAATAGGAAGCACTGTGTTATGGAAGTGAGTGGAAATTATGCCTGGGTAATACAACCCATATTCTGCTGAAAAGTTCATTGCTTCCTTCACATTAACATTTCTAATTAGAACAAAAATACAGACCCAACCAAACATTTCATTTTATCTTGGTTTGATACTCTTATTCCTTAAGCAGGGTGCTCTTCTCCACCTCACAAAGCGCCTTGCCCCACATAAGCATGAAAGAGTAAACGCGCATTATGGATTCTACTAGCAGGCAGCCCACCAAAGCAAATACACTGGCCTCAACATCTCCTTTGACATTTCACTAGGTAGTATCTGTTTGTTTGTTTCTGTTTCTCCTCTTTGCTATGGAACTGAGCTGTTCCAATCTCAGGATATTTACAGAGTTAAATATCTTTACAGAACCTAACTCCCAAAAGCTGTGTTAAGCTCTAGTTCTTTGCATTAGCTTTAACAAAAGGAAAACCACGCCTCAAATATAGCTGGGTTCTACAAATCAACTCTTGGGCTTACTTGCATCAGCACACCTCATTTAAGATATATAATCAAGCCAGTGGAAAAACATCATTGTCTTCACCACTACCTTTGTATACACAAAATCCAAAGACAAGCTTCCATACCCACTGCTGCTGGTGGGACTGCCAGCTGAACCAATATTCACCCCTCTCACACATTTCTACCACAGAAGGCAAAAGCAAGAGATTCTCAGGAACAAAAACCTGCCCTATCACCAAATTAGTAACAAAACTCTTAAAGTTCTTCGTAAAACTTTAGCCATATGCTTTTATAAATGGACTTCTATGTTGCAGATACACGTAAAAAGACGAAGCCTTTGAAATTATTTTTAGGAACAAAGGGATACATTTAACTGATGAAAAGGTTAATATTGAAGTCAGGAAGTGGTCAGAACAGAGCTCCTTTGGGCTGCCTGGGTTTTTTTGACCATGATAGACCTGTTCTCTGTCCTGGTGTTCGTTCTCAAATCTAAGTGCTGAACTCTGGTAACTTCTTGTTCCAGTGGCAATAATGCAAAACTCCATGTATACTGTGCTTTTGGGAAAGTATTTGGATGCTGGAAATTTGGGACTTAAACAGCTGCAATCAAACAATTGGATAAGAGAAAGTAAAACCATCAGCACTGTGCATTCATAGCCCCCAAAGCTCTCCATAGAAAGTAAATTATTCATATTCTTGTAAGGTTAGTAGAAACACTACGATCTTCATCTCCAGGTGATGAATCCAAGCCCACAGACTGAAGGCAGTCACAGGCACTGCTGATAGGCAACTTCCTTATTGCACATCCATCACATCAACTACCAGACAACGCCTCAATCAGCCAAGGTTACATAGCTCCTCTTTACTACTGGATTTCTTAGACCAAAAAGAATTTATTTCCTCAGCATTTTCTCCCAAGCCTTTTCCCTGATCTTACCTTTCCTGGAACACACTAAATATTAACTCAACGTTTTGAGTAACAGGATCCCTTAAACTGCCAGTGAACGAACGAGTGTGAAAAACATGGGGTGTATATGACTCATCTGCAATAGCTGACTCCCAGCATTCACAGATTTAATCTTGAACAAAATACTTTTCATGCAAAGCCCATGTTCAGACAGAAATATTTGTCATAATTGAAACACATGCAGAAATTAGGTACATTAAGGAAAGGAAGGCAGACAAACACAAGAAAACAACAGCCCAAGTATAGCTCATTGTGGTAGGATCGTGGAGTATGACTTATGTTTGTGTTGGTTCTTGCCAAAGCCAAACCAGGTGCCATATTAAGTCCAGTAATTCTGTCATGATGCAGATTAGCCACAGATGGCAGCCCTTCATTTTTGAATGAAGCGAGGCATGAATACAAACAGCGTTGAATGAAACAAAAAAGTTCAAAGGGAATAAAAATAAAACCAATATTTATAAAAGAAAACAGATGCATTTCATATGTAAGCCAAAACCACAACTGATTTTATCAAATACTGTAGCCCAGTATCCAAACCAATTCCACTTTGCTATTTAATGTATATATTCATAATATGCTGAATAAAGCTGAAAGCCAGATTCTGTCCTCAGTTACCAGTCTGAAAATGTCCTATAAAAATCCAGTGTAAATTCAATGCAGATTTGGAAGTAATAATCAAAGACTCATGATGAATATGTGAAGAGTAAAACCAGAGTTTGAGCAAATTTGTACCTATCATTAGAACTCAAATTTCTGCTGAGCTCATTTGTTATATCTAATGACAACAAGGCTGCTACATGCAGCCTATGATGGATTAGACTCTGTGCTTCTGTAAGCTGGCAGGTCTACGCAAACTTATTTCATAAGATCTGCAAATGTTTTTAAATTTTTTTACTTACACTTCGGATATGCTGTTATGAAAACTTCCCACTTGCCATATAAGATGGATTTATGTACAGATTTCTGTACATAGAAAGAGTCACAATAATATGTGATCATGTAATGATAAGAAAAAATGTCAGAAAAATGTATAAGGTACCACATATAAACAGTGAAGGGTGGCTGAAGGCTATCTCTGTATTCAAGAAATACCTCAGAATTAGAGTCAGTTAGCTTTACAGAAACTTTATAAACTCTGTGCTGTAAGTTACTACATTTTACATCATATAAAGTTACATTTAACTAAGGCTACCTGTATAAGTAAAAAACTTTTTTCAGCAAAGACAATTTAATAAATAATTTTCATCTGTAATAAACTTTTCTGTATCTCAAAACAGACCATTATTTAGCAAAATGCTAAACGTCAAGCAAAAGGTGCCTGTTATGAACATTCACATCATCAAATGGAATGGATTGATTGATACAGGTGATATTTTTAACATAGGTGAATGGGTTAGTGTTCCCTACATAAAGATAAAAAGAAATAGCCCATTGCATTAAATAATTCCAGAAACATTTCTCGAAACAAATGTTTTAAGCAGGAAGTTGTGTGCCCACAGGGATCACTTAATTCAAGGTGACAAATAAATTTGAAAAAGAGCAGTTGTTCTTGAAAGATTAAATCTTGTTTTAACCAAAGAAAGAGATAAAAAATATAGATTATTTTGAGTAGAATACTCACTGACATTTTTCAGAATTGGTGTCAATCACCTTTATGAATTGACTACATACTGAATTACTTAGAAGTAGACTCATTTCCTCTCTTTGCAAAGAATGCACTGACTATGGGCAAAATTAGATACTTATGGTGTACTTGTAATATTGCCAAACTCCCATCTGGGTTACAGAAATCATAGGCCGTACACAGAATCCCATTTTGCATGTCCAGTTTTCAATGGAAGAAGATAGATTTTAATTCTATGAAAAGATTTCATAATCTTTACTACAGAAGTTTCACTTTAGAAATTAAGAATGCAAACAAAACATGACACATCTCTGAAGAGCACAACTCAATTTGCTTTATTATGTTAAGCGATAATGTTTATTTGCTTTGTCAAAGGTGTTGTGGGATCAGCTAGTGTTGGGCGTATTTCAGAGACAGTGTATGCTATAGACCCTGATGTTCATATGGAAGAAACAATTGCTTTCTGCATGCTATAAGCAGTTGTGTTTCATGTAGAAGTTGTAGACAAAGCTACTCTTTTGTTGACATGCTGTGTTACATGTATTATGAAGCTGTAAGGTTACTCAGAACTTCTATTCTGCACATGCAGAAATTCCAAGCCTTCCACATTTTTTGGCTCTTCATAAACCATACAATTAATATCATGACAAGTTAAAATGCACAGAAAATTGTTACACATTGTGAAATGAAGAGAAATATAGACTGTGACAGACTGAGCAGGCATGTGAAAGGATATAAAGATATAGACACTTACATATCCGTCATCACAAGGGCTCATAGAGTAATATCCCTTTATGGGCAAACAGGCACACATTAAAATAAAGAAGATTAAAAAAAATAAGTTAACAGAAATTAATCACAGAGAAATACACAGTTCTTAAAAAAAAATAACTCAAAATTAGCTAAAAATTAACAAACTATTAGCTTTGAAAAGTATAAGCATCATTTCCCAACCCACATAACTGTATGTTTTCAGATTGAAATCAGTGTCTTTTTCATGATATATTTACATTATAAGTTCTCCCTTCAACACCCCACAAACATACCTAGTCTGCACAATATTCCATTATAACTGTCAGCTAGAATACCTACATACAAGGCACTGACACGTTTATGTGAATATGACTTCTATTGTTCACTACACTGACACAGCTAAGACAGAGATACCAAAAAACAGATCAATCAGAAGACCTCAGCTTCTGAGCAAGCAGCTGCAAGTATTCTCCAAAATTGTGTTGACTGGGAGTTTCTCACCAGTACATAATGAAAGCTGAGACAATTTAAGGTTTTTCAGCAATGTTAACAATTCCTCATCCTGAAAGGCTCCAAGGATAAGAGAAAAAAGAGCCTGAAAGGCTACAAAAAAGTCTCTGGAAGGAAACCTAAGATTTAGTTACTAAAATAAAAAAAATGTGGTAATTCATGATTTGAGGAGTTTAGTACAAAAATATGCTATATTCTCTTTAATTAGACTAAAATATTTAACTTAGAAAGCTTTGTATCTAAATAAAAATGCACAGTTCAACACAATGAAATAAGACCAACTTTAATTATTCTCCTTTTATTATTTTTCTGCAAACCTGCCAATACTTACTTTAGAGGCATATAAACACATAAACACTGTGAAGAGAAGGTTTCTCTTTAACAGACATATACAGCTTTATATAGAAGGTATAAGAAACTTGCCACTCCTTACTGTGAGGAGAAAATAAAATTCTTTCTATTCTTTAACCAGTTTTAAAATCTGTTATTATTCTTTCTATTACAATCACATTCAGAATTCCCTGATGTTAATGAGTATTTTAACTTTCACGGTGCTGTACACGCACATAGACAGTTCTTGTCAAAGTCATTTTAAGATTAAAAAGAACAACATCGATAGAGACCAGTAAGTGAGCAAAAGAAACCAGTATCATGACAAGAGGTCATTTCAACACATGCATGACCTGAGCCACTGAAAATGTACACAGGCATCAAGACAAAAATGACATTAAAGGAAAGTTTTAATATTATAAGAAACGAGATGGACCAGATGACCTGCAAGGTCCCTTCTAACTTGGGCTGTTCCACAATTTGAGGTCAGTAAGAGGAAATGCTTGTGGAAACCACTACTGATGGCAACACTTTACAAGATGAGAAATTTATGCAACTTGTGCAAAAGACATCATATACCATAGCAGCAGGAAAAAAAAAAGGACTTCTCTTTGTTTACATAAACAGGTAGATTTGTTTCTTCGCATGGGCAGGGATGGAGAAGACTGATACATTTCATCCTAAGAAATGTTTGCTTAGGGTAGATGCTGTTTGCTGTATATTATTTTTAAATGAAAGAGCACACATCCAGATGACACTCAGTGAATCCACTCTGAATGGTTCAGAGAGATTAAAAAAAGCCAAACAAAAAAACTTGTTACCCTTCCTCCTGGGTTTCACGTGGCCTCCTGGTGCAGAAAACACTTTCACAATTGAAAAACAGAATATTTGCCAACTATTACAGTTTGATGGCATGTTCATATCTGCAGTAAAAAGCAAGTTTGAGGAAAAAAAGCACAGAGTACAAGAGGAAAAAAAAAACCAAAAAAAGAGACCATGCCAGCCTCTCCAGTTATCCCAGAACATTTAAAAGATTTTTAAAATTCCTCCTTGTTCACAGTTTGTAAATGACAGCTTCACTTTATAGAAGAGCTTCCGTCCAGTGACAGAACTTAGGGGGAAAAAAAAAGAAAAAAGAAAAAAGATTGCACTTCAAAGCTTCAGGAATTGTGCCAAAAAAAGACCTAAAACTTGCAAGGGACATTAATGCACTTAATCGTGGTTACAGGTAAATAGACTGAATAGTAGTAACAACATAATGGGCATTTATTCAATTACACAGGAACAATATATGCAAAATACAATACAGCTTTCTAGTCAGAGAAAGATTCTCCAGTGGTTAACACACATCTTGGCTATTGTCAGAAACTGTGCATCTGAAGAAGCAGTTCCTTTTTTTTTAATCCAAAGTTTAGAGACTCTTATTACATTATCCCTAATGCAAAGAAATTCCAGGAAGGTGTATATCTTACTCAAGTTAGAAAAATCTATTTGTGGGTTTTCGACTCGAGCCTATGCTACTTCTGATGGGGAGTGAATGTACAACACTACAGTGATAAAAATCCAGAATTCTCTTGGCTTCACAATGTGTATTAAACACAAAATCACAGTCATCAAAAAACTACAACCAGTGCTTGTTACCCACCAGACAAATCACTGTTAGAAATAAAGACAACATACACACAGAAACAAACCAAACCCCCTAAAATTACCTCAAGAATATTAAAGATATAGAGGACTATGACAGATCACTGTATTTAAAACTATTCTTTTCAAATTTACCATTACCCACATCAGTCCCCTGTCTAAATGAACATTAGAAAGTCAGGAATCTGATTAAATCCTCAAATGAATGTTTCCTCAGCTTTTCAGAGCTGGTATTCTCACCTCTTATTCTTGGATCCAGACCTTTTGCTCTAACAGTTCTCTCAGGTTTCTCATCTCCCAGTTTAGGACCACACATGTCAAATTAAAAGATGGAAGATGGCAATAACATTCAACTGGAGATAGGAAAAAGGCCTTATGGTAAAACACATCTTTAGAGAAGCTTTGGAAACATCTCCCAACTGTAACACAGTAGTGTAGCCTCTCTCCCGCCATATACAGCAGATGTGTCCTGTTAATGGATTGTAGATCAAGCTCACAAGCTGACCCAGGAGGTCAGAGAGCTGGCAAGAGGCATGAAGTTGCTCTGCAAAAGGAGGAGAATCAAGCCATCTTACAAGAGAGCACAAAACCAGAGGCCCATACTAAGTCAGATTTTGTGGGTATGATTACACAGGGAAAGTCTCTTGGTTAAAAGATGTCAATGCCACAGGTCTTAAAGCCAGTTTGGTAAGAAAGACTTGTTCTGGGATTTATTGCCTCAATACAAATTTATTCCAGTATGAAAGGACAGGCCTTCAGCCATGGAGCAGCAAACCAGGAAGCTGATGTTTGTACAAAACCAGAACACATTAGTAAGGGATACACATTACCTTTATTGTAATTTCAAAGTCTGAGACCTCAAGGCTTTATATTACACAATGCTACTTTCCTGACGTTAAAAATTGAGCACAGAGTACAATGCACTGGGAACAAAATCAAATTTGCACATAAATAAGGCTACCAAGGATATAATCCAAGGCATACTCTTTCATTTCCTTGGGCAATACTTCATTTTGGTTACAGCACTAGCACAATGCTCCTTCCCAGTGGTACAGTGCTCCTTCCCGGTATAACTTAAGACTACCAGTGTAGTGTAGCTGATTTAACATAATACACTGTAGAGCTCAACTAAACATCTCTGAGCATGATGCAGCTTTAACATTTTCTGCTCTTAGAACCTGCTTCAGAACCTGGATTGTCCCAAGTTGCGCCAGTACAGTGAACTCAAGCACCTCCTCTTTCCAAACTATGTAATGCACGTCCACTCATTCCCTAAGTAAAAGTGGTAGAAATTTAAGGCTGCATGTCAGTACAACATAAAGTAACTTCCTTGCTAATGATTTTCTTTTCTGCTCATCTATTTAGTGATATCGATCCACCAAAACTAGTTTATTTCAGAGGCTGGTCCTGACGTTGGTGACGTCAGTGAGACAGAGTCAAATCCTGAAAACTCAAGGCAAAATGGGGGAAAAACCCCAACAAACCACTATATTTAATGCCTGCCAAAACTCTTTAGACATTGACCTTTTGCTTTTTTAAACCTCTCACCTTGCCTACACAGTGACCAAGTGGTAAGGATGAGCAAAGGAGCTGCCCCCCCACTAGTCTCTTCCCCCTTGCAACTCTACAGGTGACTGCCTCTACGGCAGAGGAGTTTTGTTAAATGGAGTAGCTAGAAAAAACACACTGCAATGTCTCTAATCAGATATGAGTAAAAAAGTGAAGGGATCTTCCAACACAAATCCAGCACAGATGTTGCAAGCTTATGCTACTACTTAGTCCAGGTCACAATGCCTCCAGCTTTATTCCAAAACTTATGCAAAAACCTGAAACCACTTAAGGATAGAACAAAAACATCTAAGTGTGTAACAATGAGGTATTTGGAATCCTTAAAGTAATGGGATGCCTTAGCAGCCTAGTGGCAAACAGTCAGAATTTTGTTTTTAGTTCATCTTATCTGGCTTATTGGATCAACAGAGTCAAGGAGTGGTTAGAAGTATTTTGGGATGATTAGGAAGGAGTCTCATTTTTCTTCTCAGAAGATGGGTTACATATGTATTTTCTTCTTCCACTTACTTGTGTTTCTATGTGTTTGCTATTCACTTATAAAACCAGAACTCTCTACATGGGAAACAAACAAGAAAATATGATGAACCAAGTGTGGACAAAAGCATAAGACGAAGAAACCCGGTTATGATGCAACGAAGGTCTGCAAGCAAAGACTGCGATTAGCCCTCCAAAATGTGGTTAACGCCTCAGACAGCCTGAGTGTGTGGGTCTGCTTATAGAAACATCAGATTTCAACCACAGTAGCTACTATAACCTCACTGTCAAGGAGCAACCTAAAATAGTTGAGAAACCCTTAATCTAAACAGTCTCAGAGTTCTTGCTGTTCTGGTCCTTCACTTGAGAACTTTGCTGGCACAGCAACTACTACACATAGTATGGGCAAAAGGAGATAAAGTCACACAGAAATAGTTATGCTAGTAAAGCCTAGTATAAAAATAGATATAGCTCTGCCAGAAGAACACAGTTTTACTCATCTTAAACTGGCTAACTTGAGACAGGAAGGAGGCAAAAATTTAATTCTAGGAGGGGGAAAAAATCCACCACCACCAAATCCTCTTTCTCTGACCTACCTACATTGCTGGAGACTGTGGTAAACTGGCCACAGGGGCATAAGTATGGTGGCAAAGGTGCTTCTGAAGCAGAAATACTTTAAAAATGCTTTTAGAAAAGCAACAGTAAATAAACATGATGCATAAGACCAACAGTCATTTCACAGTTGAGCATCTTTACTAGAAGGAAAATGAAGAAGCATGGCTGCAGGAGATTTTGGTTGCCTAATCTGTCCTGGAGGAAGAATCAAGCATCAGCCACAAGTGGTCCCTTAAAAAACCCCAATGACAGAGATTCTGGCTGAAATACTGTGCTTATACACTGCTGCTAATCCACTTCTTCAGTGATCACTTATTGTTCTTAAAACTCTTTAAAGTCTTTATTTCATAGAGAAGGAAACAGATGCCTATACCTAAAGGCTAAACCACACAAGGACAGATGTTTATCCTGAAATTACATCTGTGACAGGGGCATAGCAAGTCATATGCAGTCTAGAAATAATCCATCCAGTTTTTATCAGTGAAGACACATCTTCAGCCACTTCTGCACTTCCTGCAGAGTGGATAAAGAAAACAATCAGCACCTGGCATAAGGAGGACACTTTGCCCAAAAGGGCTTCAAGAGATCAGAGGATTAACTCATGATAGAAAGAAAAGAAATAACAAGAGTGGGCAAATTAAGTGTCTTCAAATCACAGGAGAAAATGAGAAGCCTTGATGCAAGCAGAAAGCAGGAACAGATAGAAGAGGGAACGTGGCTGCACAGAATGAACGGTCTCAGTACAGGGAAGGGGAGCTAGGAGACACACGCAACCGCAACATCAGATGGTAAAAATACAGAAGACTACTGGGGTACATACAGCATGACCTTAGAAAGCCATTGGCAGGGAAAGAGGGCAGACCTCTGAGAACTGTTGGTCATAAGAAAGATGGGGCAGGAGGTACATTAGAGGGTGGGACACGGCATAACCATGCACTACAGACAGGGTGTAAATCTGAAGAGAGAAGAGTTACGAGCAGACCCTATTGCTAAGGTAGCAGATAAGCAGAGATCCTGGTTGCTTCTCAAAACCCTGGGATACGCAGCCTGCAATAGCTGCTAAGAGTACACCTCTCAAATACACGGCAGGTCAGAGAAAGAAGATCTGATCATTAACAGGGAAGTGAAGGCATTTAAAACAGCTTAAACAGAGCAATGAGGAATAATATTTATCACTGAAAATATCAGAACATAAAAAGGGAGCATTTTTATTATCTCATCATATTTCTGTAATAATTTTCAAGAGCAACAAAACGTACCCATAGCATCATTGTTATTAAAAATGTTGGCTAGAATAATGAGCAAGAATCTTATTTTCTTCCGCTTTTCCTTTGATACTTCACAAAGCTCTCCTACTACAAAGTTATGTATACATGAAAGTCTGCTGTGGCAAAAATAATAAGCATAGTTCATGACTTCAGTTTGTAAAGCACTGGCACACAATATTTTAATACTAAAATGTTTTAATGCAGTTTTAATGTTAATGTGTATTTGAAAAATTTTAACAAACTAGGTAATAAAAATGGTTGTACCACTGAACAGCTCTTACACTACCACTAAGTCATTTAAAATTTCACACCCCCAGGCAGTTTCACAGACACTAGAAACTATCCTAAGATGGTTCAGATGGTTCTGCTCCTGGGACAAAAAGCTCCCTTTTCATTCAGGCAGAAGAGATTGAGCAGAACACTAATGGGCACAAGCAGCTCGGTATACTGCAGCCATCTGAAAAGGAATAAGAGGCTGGTGAAGTAAGAAGAAAAAACCTAGGGAGCTGCTTATTAGTAAGATCAAAGATCCTCAGATAGGGAATTAAAGCTCATCATGTAAATCAACAAGCTGGCTTGGGTGTACCATCTAAATGCTCATCTAACAGCTAGGTTTTACAAATAAGGGAAGTTCTCCCTTCTTCTTCTTTTCTCCTTATGTTCCCATGATCCTGTTTGATATTTCTCCTTTAGCTGGCTAAGCCAAATCACTCTAGGTTATAAGAGCATCACTGACAGCAGAAAGGAACAGAACATGTGTCCAGAGCTGAACAACAGCACCACCCCTTTTTAGCTAAATTATTAAATTGGCTAAGATGTGCCATCAAACCACACTCAGGATATTAGTCTTAGGTTTGTTTTGGTTTTTCAAATGTTCAGTTAGCATTTAAACAGATACACATCTTACCATTATCATAACAACAGAATTAACCATACTTATGCAGCTATGACCATATAACCATGTCATTTCACCAGCATTTGAGATCAACAAAATCTTCTGCATTGCTATATTCTTATACAAGCTTGGACACATGACACATGATGTTTTGCCTTTACTATATCTCACATTTGTTGTTCAAATTACAGTTTAAGTGGTATTGTCTCCTGAGACAGTTACTGCAAGAAAACCAAACATGAATACTTACAGTTCCAGGCCTTGTGAAGTCGATACTATGTGCTACCTTTTGTCTCATCTGATTGTTACACAAGCGAACACAAACACTTTGAAGGTACCCTGGTGTGATCTAAAATTAGGAAACAGAACAGGATTATAATAAAACTTACACTTTCTACCAGACAAGTGTTTCTATACTAAAGGTTGTTGTTTTGTTTTTTCTCTAGAGGGCAAAAAAAAAAAAATCACACACCTGAGACTCATTGATGCAAACACAAAGTATTTACTGCAACTACACTTCTGTTCAGAAATTCAGGACAGAACTAAAGTTCCATAAAACATCTGACACTGTCCTGCATGACATCTTTATTACTAAACTGGAGAGGCATGGATATGATGGATGGACTGCTTGGTGGATACGGAATAGGCTCGATAGTTGCACTCAAAAGTTACAGTCAACAACTCAATGTCCAAATGGACATGAATACAGGTGGTGTTCTTCAGGGTTGGTATTGGGACTAGAACTGTTTAACGTCTTTGCTGATGAAATGGACAGCTGGATCAAGCACTTTCAGCAAGCTTGGTGACAACACCAAGCTGTGTGGTGTGGTTGACACACTATTGATCCTGACAGGGATAGAGAGGTGTGCCAGCGTAAACCTAATGAAGTTCAACAAGTCCAAGTGCAAGGTCCCACAGCTGGGTCAGGTCAATTCCAAGCACAGCTATAAGCAGTGTAGCTACTGGACTGAGAGCATCCCTGAGGAGAAGGACTTGGGGATGTTCATTAATGAGAAGCTCCACATGAGCTGACAGTGTGCTGTCAGCAGTTTTGCAGCCCAGAAGGCCAACTGTATGTCAGGCTCCATCAAAAGGAATGTGACCAGCAGGCTGAACAAGGTGATACTCCTCCTCTACTCTGGTGAGACCACACCTGCAATACTGCATCCAGCTCTGGAGCCCCCAACATAATGAGGACATGAACCTGTTGTAGTGAGTCCAGAGGAGGCCATGCAGATATTGAGAGGGCTGGAGCACCTCTTCTGTGAAGACAGGCTGGGAAAGCTGGGGTTCTTCAGCCTGGAGAAGGCTCCAGAGAAACATTACAGCAGCTTCCAGTATCTGAAGGGGGCCTACAAGAAATCTGGAATGGGCCTTTTGAAAAGGCCCGGTAGGGATAGGACAAAGGGGAATGGCCTTAAGATGAAAAAGGGTGAATTTAGATATTAGGAATAAATTCTTCACTGTGAAGGTGGTGAGCCACTGGAACAGGTTGCCCAGGGAAGTTGTGGATGCCCCATTCCTGGCAGTGCTCAAGGCCAGGTTGGATGGGGCTCTGAGCTACCTGGTCTAAAGCAAGGTGTTTCTGCCCGTAGCATGGTTGGTGGAACTAGATGATCTGTAAGGTCATTCCCAACCCTAATCATTCTGTGATTCTACAAAATTAAGAAAAACGTAAACCCTCTTCATCTGGGAGTAGTTACGGTATTCATGATATTAACACTAAACACTTTCGGGGAATCTAGAAGTAAAACAGAATTTGTCACACCTATGCTTGCATACAGATTTTCCTCAATTAAAAGGTAAGCCGTCCAACAGTAAGTACGAAGCAGTTTTGTGCTTTATACTTATGAAATGCTGATGTACTGTCTAGTTAAAAAGCAGAACCTATGCTGTCTTGCACAGCAGAAAGAATAAATATGAGTTACACAGCACAGTACTTTATGATTTAATGCAAAACATATCAGCAGGCTTAGGTTTTTTGTTTTGGGAAATCTATACCACAATAGAACTACTTGATTTCACAACAATTATTAAATTCCCCAGAACAGCTGAGAGGACCTAGACTATTGAACGAATGGGACACTTACAGAATCATAGAATCATAGAATAGTTAGGGCTGGAAAGGACCTTAAGATCATCTAGTTCCAACCCCCCTGCCATGGGCAGGGACACCTTATGCTAAATCATATCACCCAAGGCCTCGTCCAACCTGGCCTTGAACACTGCCAGGGATGGAGCATTCACAACCTCCCTGGGCAACCTATTCCAGTGCCTCACCACCCTCACAGTAAAGAACTTCTTCCTTATATCCAATCTAAACTTCCCCTGTTTAAGTTTTAACCCGTTACCCCTTGTCCTGTCACTACACTCCATCCCCAGGCATCCCTATAGGCCCCCTTCAGATACTGGAAGGCTGCTATGAGGTCTCCACGCAGCCTTCTCTTCTCCAGGCTGAACAGCCCCAACTTCCTCAGCCTGTCTTCACACGGGAGGTGCTCCAGCCCTATGGCGAGATAATAAAACCCTTCAAATTCAGAATGCTGTAACTTCAACATTATTTTAGTCAGTACTCAACTCCACTCTGGAGTCGGAAATGACAGAAACCAAGATTCCCAACGAAAGAGCACCCTCTTCTGGACACACTTGGGAAGGATCAAATGACTGCCCAGCACAAGGCTAACAAACGAAACGAAACAGGCATTCACAACAAAAGATAAAAATGCCTGGCTCCTCCAGAACATAAGGGTATATCACCTTGGAGAGCACTGAAGTGTGAAATACAAGGCAGCAAATTAATTACTACATACTTCTCATTGTTACCAGAGCTCATGTGAGCATATACCTTTCCTAATCTGCTCTAAAGCAAAGCTCACGCCTACAGGCAAATTCTTTTAATGAAATACAAGACTTTCACGCTGATGACTGGAGGAAGGTACATACTGACTCTTCAGCATGCAGCATAGGAATTCCTAGCTCATTCTCCCTGTTAATAATTCACAGCTCCTTTAAAAGGATCTAGAGGCCACAAACATCTGCCACAAGAGTAATTCTCAGGTTATACAGAAATTATAGTACTTCTTGCATGTTTGAAGAGAAGATGGCACAAAAGATGAAGCATAAAATCATCTTTGTATAAAAAATACTCATAAGAAAGTTGTACCTTCCACAGTCACATGTGCGACCCATTTCCCACATTGCGCAACTCATTCACTACTCCTACCCCAGCTCCCTTTACCAACTAAATGAACAAGTTGAGCTCAGTAGAACAGAGAGCAAAGCTTTTCCTCACCAGCATTTTTGATGACACAATTGTTTCCACCATACTGTAATTTAAAACAGACCTGGCAGCAGTTTTAAATACACAACAACCTCTGACAGGCTGGATTGCAAGCAGTAGTCACAGAAATGCCCTCTAATCACTGCTGACGCCAAAGCTCAAAAAGGGGACTCTCAGAAGAGATCTGTCTTGTGAGACGGTGATAATTTCTTGAAGATTTCCCAGCCAGAACAATTCAATCCATATTCTGCACTAATTTTATCCCAGTACACAGAGGCAACAGAAGACATCTCTCATCCAAAGTGCTGTGTTTCATTAGCAAAAAGACATAGTACTTAAGAAATGCTCTTAACTACAAAGCTCAATTCAAATTTTAGTGGCATTTTTTCACCATTTTCTGTGGGATGAGGAAGCAAGTACACATCTGAATCATTTCTTACCATCTTGCCATTGACTGTGGCCTCTAAGGAATCCACCAGCTCTGCAGTGACTCCAATAAGGTTACGGTAGTCCACCTGCATTTTGTTAAATTGTTTCAGGTAGGTCATGGCTCTGCCCTCAGATTCCACTAACTGTTGTTGAAGATGCTGCAGCCTTTCTGTCAAGAGAATAATAAAAAAAGAACATCACCTTTTCAACCACAAGGACAAAAATCCCACAAGCATTTTTACTGTTCTAAAGGGACAACTTCAACTGCTGCTATGGAATTATTTTTATCCAAGGTGCGGAATTACACTGCAAGGATTATTTCATACTACTAGTGTGATTTCAGTTTGTCGTAACAGCTACAAGTATCTATTTTGCCTTAACTGCCCAAAGAAACAACTGCTTCACAGTTATAGCAGTAATACAACTATTAAACAGTAAACACCACTGAATACATTTGTGAAGAGAATACCACTTTAAATGTCTGTTAATACAAAAAGGTTCCATGCTATTGGAGACAAAACAAGATAGTAGGCATCAAATCAGAAGAATATATGACAAAATGCAGCTTAGGCTTGCTATCTTCAGATGAGACTCATGCACTGTCTGCTACATTAATTTAAGTACCAGTGGGTAAAAACCAGTATTACACTGAGCAACACTTCAAAGATAAAGCAACAAAATGGGAGAATGACAGTACCCAGAGGTTCATGCCAGTTCTTGACAGATTACGCAATAAGGCTGGGTGTTTTCTCCAGTTATTTTATAGAAAGAGACCACTGATATTTAGGTTATGTAGTGCTTCACTTATTTTAAAGTAAATACTAAGTCTGCTATCTTTTAAGGAAAACAACCTCAGACCTAGTCAAATTAGCATTCCGCATGGAAGGCAGGCACAGAATCTGGAGCTGTGTATTGCAGTGCACATCTTCATGACTGGATAACTATGAAGGGAGGCACAATATTTCTATTGTTACTGCTGATGTCTATGTAATTTGCTCGAACATTATGTTTTAAATTAGTTTGCTGAGAAGCCAGTATCACTCTAGTGTTGCAAAAACGGCATCACACCCATCTGCAAACAGACTCAATATTTACCAGAGGACTTTCTATTAAGCAATGGTCAGGAAGCAGCTTGATGACAAAGTTTCAGACAGAAGTAGGATTATTTTTCACAGATTTTAAAAAATGTTGGGGTTATAGTAGAGCATTCCAAACAGCCCAATATGACCAAAACAGTTTAGGTCCAAACAGACCCAAAGGGAAGAAAAATAAAGGAAGGAGCTAAGATACAGAATTAGAAACTAGAAAAACTATTTCCTGTTCCTGGCTTTGAACAGACTTTGCTCATAATCTTTAAGGAAACCATTACCCTCTTTCAATACCTGATTCACTGTCTCTTTCCATAAAGATGAAGATCATATGTTCCTGTAACACAGAAGCATTGGGAAACATAACCGGTATCAGTGGAAATCTTTTGGATCTTCATTTGGAGAATGCTAAGCAGCACAAAGTTTCACCATACCATTATCCTCTGTGTTTAAAAAATCCCAGCATATACCTTACAGCTGCAATAAGCTCTGGAGAGCTTATTCAGAACTCTACTTATTCAGAAACAGTGCCTTGACATTTGCTCCCTTGCTCTCTGAATAGAGGCAAGAACCTCTTCTGAGCCAAGGTGACTGGCACAGGGGGTGGTAATCTTCAGAGGGAAAAATGGGGAGGGGAAGTCCTGTATTAACACCATGGCTTATCTGGTAGAGCCTTCACAAGTTCTCTTTTACAATGGTGATTAAGTTATATTGTAGGCAGCGATGTACTACTAATACACAAATATCTGCCAAACAACTTCCAACAAAACACTTCAAAAAAAGCAATAAACACATGGAGATAAGAGACGCAAAACTGTCAGAAACATACTATTCAAACATACCTGTTCATAAAGCTTTCATTACAAATAAACAAGATCAAAGTCATCAGATAGTTCTATGATTTCAGATGTTGGAAACTGCTTTAAAAACTTGTCATATCATATGGATTTTAGGGTTTCCAAAATAGGCTTTTATCCCATTTATGTTAAAAGCAGTAGATGTTGGAACATCTTATTTTTACTTTCAGAATATTCAGCAAAATCATCTTTTTAATTGGATTTTTAGAGAAAACGGGCATTAACAGACTTTAGCTATAAGCTTTAGCTATAAATTGACAGTTCTAAAGCATGAAATACAAAGAAGGTACATCTTCTTATTTCTAATCCATGTTTTTTCAAAAATCTATGAGTTAAGGGAAAAAAACGACAAACACCCAGACAGTTATTTTACTCTCACAGCTTTCTCCCCTCTACGAATGGACACCTTCTGAAAACTATTCATGAATCACAGCATTTTGCACCTGCAGGATTTGTGACTGATACTTGAGATCCAACTGCAAATTAAGCCACCCTAATAATATTTTTCTTATGCTTTCTAGGAGGGAGTGCAAACCAACATGAAATAACAACAGAAGCTGTGACAAGCCACAGATCCTGTTCAAATCCAGCAAAATGCACTTGGAAAGGAAACCCCAAAGAACACTTGAACAGCTCCCAGTAGTATTAAGCAATCTTGCTTAGAACACCAAACTTCTTATAATTCTTTAAGCTGTTAAAACCATCTCAACTGAAATCAATATTCATCAACTTACAAATCAAAAGAGCTAAGAGAACTTCCAATGACAACCCAAATTATTCTCCTTTGACAATAATCATTCAACTTGAATTTTATTTTTATTCCACAACCATCACTGCTAAACTGCTGCCACAGCTTTAATGATACAGCTCAAAACAAGAGTATTTTTCTAAACTAAAAGATTCTGAGAGCAACCATTGCACAAAACTAGCCACTCTTCAATGCTTTATACCTTTGCCTAGATGAGCAATTGGAATACATTTTTATTTAACTGTGATAAAACACATTCGATTCAGAAATTTTCAGTGTATGTACCTAGAGCATGACTTTACTCAGGAGATGGTTGGAAGCACCAAGCCACAAAATATAAACCTACTCATAATTTGCTTGCTTTTCACAGCCTAGTGGGCAAAGTTCCCAGTGATGAAAATCCATCTTTCAACATACAGTCAGCAGCAAAAACTACATAAACAGAACTTTATGCAGTTCATGAAAGCTCGTTTTGGCAATCAAAAAACAGGGTCCAAATTACCCCTTTCATGTTAAATTTAGGGATTATCAATTACAAACACTGGTCTTTACTGATAAAGGGGAGTCAAAGAGAGGAAACACAGAGCCTTGACATATTGGGTTCTTTGGGGTTTGGTTTTTTTTCACTATCTTCTCACACATAAGTAATTTTACTAAAAAAGGAAAAGTATTTCATTAAAGTTTCTTACTAAGAGAGCAGGAAGCTTTCATCATTCACATGTAGCTGACCCAGAGAGAGCTGTTGGAAGTGTTGGTCTTGTGCTACCTCATTTCCCCCCTTGCATTCCAGCCACATGCCCACAACCAATAACACCATTTGGCAGACAGATCAGGGAGCTGCCAGCCCAGACAAAAATTAGTCTTTAGTTGCTTGTTTAAAGTCATTGCCATCTTAGTCAGGATTGGTGAAAAGGAAACTGCCTTTCAGAAGCAGTTCACATTTATGTCACCTTGCAGAACTGATCAAACTGCACCTGTAACAGGAATCAGAGAGTAACACAACACATTTCACTTCTCTCTTTCCCTCTCCCAGACACAACTCCTGTATGCTTTCTGCATATGATAAGTTTAGGAAGGGGTGGGGGGAACCTCTGGACCCAATATCTGCCAGACCATTATTCATATGTGGAGGAAAAGAGGGGAAAATAAAGGACAGAGGACTAATCTCCTGGGTTAGGAGGATGCAGCATACAGTAAAGCTTGCGACTCTGCCAAATGAAGATGCTGGAAGTAAGCATCATCTGAACTACTGCATGTTTCTACCAATATTCTTCCTTGCTCTTTCATGTATGTAATTATCAAGTCTTTTTAATGTTTTGACTCCAGTTCCTGCGAACAGCCAAGGAGTTACACATATGTACACATGCATAATTCCACACTAAACGTTTCTCCTTAAGAGAGAGAACAGTTGTTATCCTCTATGACAACCTACCTACACCTCAAACACATTTCCTGAACTTGTGCTTGCTCTCCCTGTCTCTCTAGTCTCAGCCCACCCACACACACTTTGCTAGAAGCACTTCAGCCAGCCAGCTTGACTTCCTGCATACAATACAGCAGAGCTCTCAGCAGAGGAGATGCAGGTCCCAAGAGCTGCTGGCAGACATCAGAACTCTTTAGGTAACACTGAAACCTTGCTCTTAGGAAAGGCAGCAATTGCCTTGTCTCCTTACTGCTAACCTCATTTCCATAAAAATTACTATCTATATTTTAAACTGACATCTTTCCACATTAATAGTAATTCAGACTATAGCAACTCTTGACAGACAGACAGGTCACACTTCACCTTCTCTTGTGCAGCAGCCTGACACACTTCCCTACTCTCCCCTTCCCTGACATAGAATCATAGAATAGTCAGGGTTGGAAAGGACCTTAAGATCATCTAGTTCCAACCCCCCTGCCATGGGCACGGACACCTCACACTAAACCATGGCACCCAAGGCTCCGTCTAAACTGATCTTGAACACCATCAGGGATGGAGCATTCACAGCTTCCCTGGGCAACCCATTCCAGTGCCTCACCACTCTTACAGTAAAGAACTTCTTCCTTATATCCAATCTAAACTTCCCCTGTTTAAGTTTTAACCTGTTATCCCTTGTCCTGTCACTACAGCTCCTAATGAAGAGTCCTTCCCCAGCACCCTTATAGGCCAGCTTCAGATACTGGAAGGCTGCTATGAGGACATGATGGAAGAATAGCTGTGAACTCATCCACAGACTTATATGAGGCAGTGAAGGAGACAGTAGCTGAAACCAGCTCCAAATACTTCATTCCCTCCACTCCTGTTAGCCTGAGGACACACAGAAGGTCTGAAGCTCTCTGTGCAAGATGCCAACCATTCTGCCAAACTGAAAACACATGGGAGAGCTGCAAGTTAAGCACAACTGCCACACAGGTAGCTTTGAAATGCATACAGGTATTAGTTTTTTTTACTTTTTAAAAATTTTTTAAATGTGTAAAAAGCCAGACTGTAGCAGCTTAATCAGGCAAGGTAAACACACTGAACTCTGCAGGACACTCTCAAGAGCATACGCACCACCCCACCTAAACTTCAAGTGCTTCAGTATGTCAAACTAATGACTGGCAACTATGCACAAAAGGCTGCTTCCAGGACTCTCTGCCACACATCTCTTTGTTCAAGTGTTGCCTAATAATTTTCTCTGCTTTTCTCCTTCACTGATAAACATTCTCCAACAGCAAGTATGTAATGTGGATCCCATGTGATCTGAGGAGCATACTGCAAAAATAACATCTCAGATCCAAAACTTTCATATGAGACAGCACTCAAGTAATGTTTATGAAAAATCCAAACCAACTCAATCTCCAAGGCACATAACAGATCTACAAATTAAAGCTGACCTGCATGGATTCAATACCATGACGCTCCCTGTACTTGTACAAGGCACAGAACCTACGCAAATAAGAAGCAATTAGACTTAAAATAATTCAGGTCCAATCATGTAGTCATTTCTTTTTAAACAGAATATTGAATTATTGCCACAAGAAAAAAGTAACTTCTGAAAAATAAACATCCATCCACAAATATTTTTCTACTATTCAATGAAAGTCTAATGCAAGACAAAAAACAAAGAAAATACCTGGAACTTGCCCTGGGAGATAAGCCTAACTTTCTCCTTAATTCTATCTACAAGTTGTAAATCCTCAGTTTAAAATTACAGATTAAAATAACTCAAGAGGAGAAGTCATCTGAAGAAACCAGCTGGACTCATACAAATCCCTACTAATAAAGTGAACACAGAGTCAGGTGAAAAAATAAATGCAAGATAGTTGGGAACCTTAGTTATAGAACATAGAACAGTTAGGACTGGAAAGGACCTTAAGATCAACTAGTTCCAACCCCCCTGCCATGGGCACGGACACCTCACACTAAACCATGTTACCCAAGGCTCTGTCCAACCTGGCCTTGAACACTGCCAGGGATGGAGCATTCACAACATCCCTGGGCAACCCATTCCAGTGCCTCACCACCCTTACAGTAAAGAACTTATTTCTTATATCCAATCTAAACTTCCCCTGTTTAAGTTTTAACCCGTTACCCCTTGTCCTGTCACTACAGTCCCTAACGAGCAGTGCATCCCCAGCATCCCTATAGGCCCCCTTCAGATACTGGAAGGCTGCTATGAGGTCTCCATGCAGCCTTCTCTTCTCCAGGCTGAACAGCCCCAACTTTCTCAGCCTATCTTCATATGGGAGGTGTTCTATTTATTGAAGTGATTTTTAAAAGGCACATATTTCAAATGCCATCAGAATCTAATAGAATTCAGTGCCAAAATCCTTTTTTTTTAAAGATCCCCAAGTCACTAACACACTTAGGTGTGTATGAACAGCTTACCTAAAAATGCAACACACCAGAACCATACTTAAACACATTCTTATTCAGGAGATATCAGTATGTGCTATTTTAGGAGTTTAAACAGGATGAGTGAATATGAACAAAAATCAAGCCTGTTGAAAATCATCAGACAGTGATCCAAATAACTGAATGAGATTTGAAATCTGGCAGATGCAGGTAGGCATAAGCAAGTATGGGAAAGAAATCTGAGAAAACTTACTTTCATCATAACTAAAAATGGAGAGCTAGTACGCACTTTCTACAGAGTTCTCCATCTGTTTTTACCATATTTTGGGACAGAACAGACTTAAAATACAAATCCTATGACTAAGCCCTTTCCCATTTATAGCATTTCTATGTTCAACCCTACTGACCTCAACCAGTCTAGCAATGACTATTACCAAGACAGGGGTCTGGATTTCAGAGGACTTTTTGCCATGCATCATTAGTTTCCCTGTAATTGCAGGTGTACTTTCTAATACTACTACCATAGCCCCCAGTAATCTTACCACAGCTCAGCATTTACCTTTGCTGCACTGTCCATTCTCTTTCTGTTGTTTGAGCAGAAGCAGTTCAGGAAAATGTGCATTCTTTCAGTACATGTTTGTTCCAGAGACACAGAATGAGAAATTCAACCAACTGGCAAACCCAGCCAAGTCAAATATTCCCACAGTCCCAGGCAACAGCCAATGCCTAATACTTTACAGGAAAGCAATAAATGAGTCAATAATAAATACATAAAAATCTTGTATACAATGTACAACATTGCACAGAGACTTGAGACCTTTAAAGATACTAAATCCAGCCCTGAAGTAGAAGATACAGTAACTCCAGTCTAAATGTATTAACACCAAAAAGTCAAGCTACTGATTTTATGTATCAACATACAAATATGCAACTGTTTAAGGGTAAGTGACATTTTATACCTAAGAAATATTCAGGGCTCAATAAGGATCCAGTCAATTACTCCATAAAGAGAAATAAGCAGAGAGGAAATTTTCTTTAGCTGCTTTATGCCAGACTCCCACACAAACATCCTTAAGATGGAAGTGAAAACACCGTTTTGATCACTGTTCCGCACCCTGGCAAACAGGCAAGAATGGAACAGAAGGAATATATTCCCAGCTCATCATTCAGTACCACCATGGCAACATGCTGCTTCAAAATAAAGTAAGATATAGCAAGAAAAGGACTTTTAACTTCTGTTAAAAAACAAAACAAAAACACCCCAAAAAAAACAGAAACAAAGACTCCAGTTTTTTTCTACCCTGTGTGTAACTGTACTGATGAAAAACAGGGAAGAAAATTTGTCATATAGCTACTGAGTTTGCAAATTAGGCCTGACAACACAGCTTAAACAACATTGTTAGAAAAATAAGTCTGGATCACAAGCCATTTAGTAAAACAATTTCTGGAACCCTTAAAAGCCCTGGAAAACTTTCAGCTAAAAAGGACTAAAAGCTTTTAGTTAATTAATGCCAAGACAGAAGTCAGTTCAGGTCAGTGTCTTCAGGTATCCTGTACTTTCTTCATGGAAGCAAAGAATAGTCATACAATAAATATGCAAGTCCATATGCATCTATCCATTGTCTTTACATAACTTTTTCAAAAGATTATAAACAAAGTTTCCTATCCTAAAAACACTGAACTGCAACGTTACTGCAGTTCTGCTGTAAATCTCAGCAGCACACTCTTCCAGTAAATTATACTGCCTCTTTGCAGTAATTCTAATTATCTTCAAAGTGTTTTCTCGAAAGGATACAAATAAAGTGAGTAGCCGAGGAGTGTCTTTGAGGATCAGAGACAGGAACTTTTCCAGTCTCGTCCTTAAATCCGATGTCCAAGAATCCTTGAAAAGAAAAATAAATGATGACAGTTTTCCACCAAATACATACACTCTGCTGAAAGTACTGTTCTGATCATAGCCACCTTCCACTACTACTAAACAAGGCAGCCAGCATCGTACTGAAATGTTTTTCCCTTCACTGTTATTGAAGTGAATGTTTGCTAGATACCCATAACAGTGTACAGAAGACAGAAGAGAGTTCAGTATTACCCCTAAATGAGAGTTCTAGAAACACAAAGTAGCTTTATTTAAAGTGTTAAAGTACCATATAATATGAGTGCCTCATATGACATGCAATAACTGCCCCTAAATCAGAAGTACTTAAAAAAAATATAAGGATCTTGAAGAAAAAAAAAAAAAGATAAAAATATTAAAGTGAATTTTATATTTATGAAATAGAATATGAAATGAATAATTTCCCACCGCTCAGCTTTCTAAAAGTAATCGCTAGACATCTTTCACTCCTAACAACATCTGGGAAATGTAAATTTTGTCAATAACTACTGCAAGAGTCATGATATGACATCAGTGATTAGGGTACAAAAACTCTAAAATCAGGATTTGGAGAGAAACAATTCATACACAAAAAAAACAGACCAACATATCAGCCATTAACTGGAATACTGTCTTCTGCCTGACATAATATCTCATAAGCACAAGAAAATAACAGTTAAGGAAGAAGGCCAAACTACAGCTAAGAATTCACTGAATACTCATTTGTTCTATTTCAAACCTTCAGTTAAGCTCCTTTCTGCTTGACGAAAAGCAAGCCAGCAAATGAAAAAGCAGTATCTTCCAACAAATAGCAGGAGCTTCCTAAATTTACTGCTGTATACATATACGCTGCAAGCTGTTCTCACAGCTCAGATCTGCCCTTATTTCACTATGCTGGAGAGCATACAGAGTTTACTTGCTGCATTTACCAATTCAGTATCCAGACAGTGGTGCATAGCAGCATGCTGTATATTACCAGAGGAAACATGACTCCTACAGAGAGGAGTGTATATTATTTTTCAAGACGTATTACACAAACAGACAGGAACTCAGCTATATAAAGCATCAGATGCCTGAGTAAAAAAAAAAAATGCTAAGAACACTGCTTAGCAGACTAGTGACTCACTGATGTTCTTTCTCAAACATAAAACAATCTGTATTTCAACACTAACATGGAATAAGCTGTACAATTCCCACAAGAAAATGAGTGACTGGACTAAGAGCTTGGACACTGGGTTACTATGAATAAACCTGAGGATCTTATCTCAGATAAGGCATTCAGGGGAAAAAGAGGAAAAAAAAAAAAAAAAGGCAAAAAAAAAGCTGCTAATTAAAAAAAGAGTAGTCACATCCCAACTCTGAGGTCAAGCAGTATTTATAGCTAGTCCCAAAGGAATATTGCTGCATATGCCTCTTTTTGGTGTTAAACTGGAGCTCCTCATCAGTTGGTACATCCAAATTCAGCCCTAAGGCAAATATCACTTAAGCTTTGATGCAATATCAAAAAATGCGTGGCAGCAACGCAGGCTGAAGATATCTCCTCCTACCACAATAACTGCCTGCAGCTGCTTATAAAAGCCAGCACAAATGTCCATGAGGTAGGATGGTGAAGCATTTCAAGCATATATAACCCTGCAAAAATACTGTACATATTTTACAAACAAATTTTTGTACCTCTGTATGTGTACATGGGAGCTATATATACACATTCACAGGCAATAAAGCAGATCAGGTCCTTGATCCAGTCCAACCACATAACCAGCTGTTCCAAGAAGTTAAGGCACAGTTTTTCACCACAGTGGAAATGGTGGCTGTACCTGAGGGGAAGGTATACCAATGCTCTGGAACATCAAACTGTCATCTCCTAATCATCTACCTGCATGGTGCCCAGGAAGCAGTCAATGTAAGGGTGTTTTGTTACACTTTCATCAATAGAATAACTGTAGGTCATCATCACATTGAAAGTGCAGCTGCAAGTATGTTCAAGTTCAAACACACTAACTTTTACACTCTCTTCTCACCTTGCACATGCAACCCTAAGAACTCAACTCTGAAACAGTCAAAGCAAAGGCTGAAACATATTTAACAAAAAAAAAATATCCAGGAAAAATGCCTGTGGTTAAGAGTCACCAAACCACTAAGCACAGCTATGCTCTTCCAGCACTTTTTTTTTCTGGGGGCGGGGGAGGTGTGTGTGGAGGCGCAGGCAACACTGTCTTTTTTTTTGTTACAGAAGGATTACCTATAAACTTGACTTCCTCTTTTCCACATCAAATGAAACTGCTTCAGTCTCCTCATGCTTAGATGTCATGTTTTAAACCCAGCTATATTTACATACAGATAGTGGGGCTGCACAACAACCTCAAAACAAGTTAGGGGGACCTGAACTACTAGTGATTCTCAGAAGCATGTGTATTTCAGGCTTGTGTGGAAAGAAAGGAGAGGCAGCAATTCTTATTTACAGACACAAAACTAGCATACCATTTAGAATAAATGGAAAATACATATTTAAGATGGTACTTTGTTACTGACAGTACTCTCACAACCCTTCCTCCATCAAATATTTATTTTTTTTTATGATTGCATAGTTTCTTTTAAAGGGAACAATAAAAATGATTACCAAATTAAACATCATTCAATATCTATTACCCCATAAGAAAAACCATTATAAATACCATCTTTGCGAAACAGATACTTACCTGGAAAAGTTCTTTAAATGAAGGATGTACCATGGGGTTTGGAACAAAAGGCAAAGCATAGAAGGGAAGAAACTCTGTAGTCTGGCTCAGTGCAGCTCCTTTTGTTTCCAGGTATCCCTTAAAATGAGAAATCCTTTCCTCAAGTTCAGCTTTGTCCTAGGAAATAAAGTAGCATATTTATTTAGAAAACTACTACTCTGAACACACTGTAATGCTGGCAAATACAAATGGAGACCTAAACACATTACATTTGAAATGCCACAATATCTGTTCTCTAAAAAGCAAGATTTATTTCACTAGGGAGCATTATATCTCGCTTTTGCCACTCAATAAAGAAAATTTAAACCAATGTTGTCTCTGTCCCCCAGGTGCAATAAAAGTGAGGGACAGCTGCTTTTTGCATGTAAATTATTCCTCCTTCTTCAGGCTAGATTTCTAAAGCAGAGTGCATTTCCATACTCAGGGCAGAGAGGAAACACCTACTTTAGACATGCTTCATTTCAATGATAAGTGCAGAATCACAAAATCCACTCACAGCACCAGGAAGGGGAGCTGACACACAGAACAAAAGCTTCTTAGAGGCTGGAAAACAAACTGAAGGCATCCAAGTACTCCTGTAGCAGCTGACAGGTGTAAGGCAGGAGCTATTAAGCCCTGGCTGACTCCAGGCTACTTATATTTCTCTTCATCATAAATGTCCCATGTAACAGAGATTTTATTTTATGACAGCTTGGAATTAGTTTTCAATATGATATCTTGAGCTGGTCAAGATTCAGCTTTCTCATTTTACCAGAAATGTTTGTATTTCAACAGACAGCTTCAGTCCAAACTGGAAGAAAAATAAGTGTTTTAATCATCAACATGCTGGTGCTTTCCAACTCTAAAATACTTTAGGAGCTCCAGGAGAAAGACATCTCCAACTTCCATCTCTACACTTCACAATAAAAGGGGTCTGGTTCAACTAAAATGCAGACTGCGGCCCAAAGACTGGGAATTCTTCTGAGTAAATATCCCATCCTCACCCACATTGAAGACAAATAAATGAAGTAAACCAAGCAGAAGGCATTTAAAGTTTGAATTGTGAACTATACTTACAGGCTTTCCAATATTGTGTTTCAAGAGGTAGGTGGCAAAGTGTATGTGAAGATAAAACTCCAGCTTCTGAGCATCCGGTTCATCGTCCAGGACTGAAGATGAAATATGCTCCTCCCAGAGCTGGAAGAAAACTTTCTGTTCACCATTTTCAAATGCTGTAAGCAGATCTTTCTGCAAAGGCAAAAAGCATTTAGTGAAAAAAACCAGACACAGAAGCACTACATTTTTTCCAACAGTGAATGAAGAATTTAAGTGCCATCTGAACCCTCAGAGGAAAAAAAAATGCCTACAATGTGCAAAAATCAGTCTTACTAAAGTATGGCAAGCTAAAAACCTAAAATAGTCAGAATCAAAACTACTGTCTCGGGTTCAAAAGGACTGGAGTCCTGAAAAAAAACAACCAAAACCAATCAACCAACCAACCAATCAAAAAGTCCAAGTTGAAGGTTTCTGCGCTGGAAGACGACTGCTAGCAGACTTCTTCAAGGAATCAAGAATCTCTTCAGACAGCTAAGAGACACTGTAATCTCACACAATGATTAGTGGCCTTTAACTGCTTTTAGTATTACTGAAAGTAGTGTAAAATATGCATTACCTGAACAGCCAAAGCTTTTGAATCTCTTGAGGAAACACCAGCTGGTTTAGGTAGTGTCTTCCCTTTTATTTGACATTCATTTGTAAATACTTTCACTGTTTCTTCAAATTCAGCAAAATCCAAATACTACAAGACAAAAATATAGGAATAGTAAATTTTTAGATTATTAATGCTCCAGTGAGTGACCCACGAATTGCCAAATCCTTTAAAGTTTCTCTGTAGGAGGGTAAATAAATGCCAAAGACTGCACAGCAACAAACCAAGACTTTATGGTAGGGAAATACTGTCTCAGAACTAAATTTCCTTCTGCATCCTGGAGAACAGTACTGACAACCAAGCACATCCTCTCTGAAAAAATGATGCTCCTCCATTTAGCCAGTAATTTCATTCAACCAAACAAGAAAGAGAACTGAAATTCATTAATGCTATACCTTGGTTGAAGAAACAAGTGAGTAACTTCCTTGCAAACAGCATTCTCGGAGGGCAGAATTCTCAAGCATAACTCTAATCTCCACAGCAGTAGACAGATAGCTTGAATTCTAAGCTAGGTCACTCATTTGAAGCTACGCAAGCCAAATTAATAACCATCTAATGAAGCATTATTCTTCTGAAAAAGAGATAAATCGCCCTACCTCTTCCTCCTACAATGCAGTTATATCACACAGAACTTTTCCCTTCTTCCCCCATCTCAGAAGTCTTAGTTATCGGTTGCTGAGGCGAGACATCATACTTCATTTTGATCTATTCAAATCTGTAGAAAATCTATTCATTTTAATTTGCTACAGAGAACAAGAATCATTTACTTTCTCCGTAACTCTACTGTTAACATAAACAGTAATATAGTAATGATTAAGTACTTAAGCCTCTTCTTAGATTGGTTTTTTGAGATTCACAAAATAGATTAAGGTTGTGTATGACTTTGCCATTTGGTAGACTCTCTGTCCAGGCTTTCAACAGACAACGTAGTGAAACTAGGCACTGAATGCCACTCCTGATTGCCCCTCTGTAGCACTGGCATCTGTGGAACACTGCAATAGATGGATCATACAAGGCAGGGCATCTAGGTTTTGTTGGTTTGGTGTTCATTTAGGGCCCTAAACTAGTCTACCAACACAGTGTCAATCAGTTAAAGGAATGGAGCAGCAGAGATCACAGTTTGTGTTCTTGTTCCAAATCATAAATGTTCCATTTTAGCCAATTTATCCAGAAGCCCGAGGCACTTGCTCTTGAAAGCCAGCCTCTCTCTTTTTCACAGGACCATTCCACACTTTAGAATACATTATGATTACCTCTACCCATATGGCCTATAAGAGGAGTGACTTGCTGGAAAATCCTGATTAGGCATTAAACCACAGAGATCAGTAGCCTCAGGACTTCAGCCTGGGCTTTGTCAGCTGTAGGGTTTTTATATGCCGCTGTGATTTTTATACACATATGGAACAAGGTGGTAGCTAAACAATGTTTTAAAGATCTTACTATTACCACAAGTTGGACCTCAGCCCTAAAACTGCCTGTCGATCTAATCAACTGTTCCTTTAATGAAAGCCTAATTTGCAATGAACAACAGATAATTCTAGACTGATTTTATGTTTGACTACTGGCATTTACTGGACTTTAAGCCCTTCAAATCTACAGAGCATGACAGGAGTCAATATGATTTCAGGGTGTAGCAAAAACTTGCCCAGACAAATAACTCCAGAATTTAGACCACAGTTACAATGCCTGGCTCTGAACACAAGCATTATGAAATTTTGCCTTGCTCATGTCAACCAAAAAGAAAAAAGAGAGAAAACCAACCTCTCTTACTAGTCCAAGTAACTCGGGTTCACAAACTTGACCGTTACTCATCGTTAAGTGTTAACTGCTGTGGGTCATTGTTGATAAACCTAAAAAATCGTGAAGAAGGAAGGGGTTATCAGATAGCACAGCGGTTCAAACAACCCCAGCCACGCACAGCCCATCAGCCACCTCACCCCAAACCAACCGCATGAGGGAGACACCCACGGCCCGTAAGGCACCTCCAAGGCCGGTCCTCACCGACCAGAATCGTTGATCTCGCCAGGCCGCGGGGCCGTCACATCGGCTCCTCACCCAGCAGACAGGCGGTGCGGCCCGCTGCACCCCCACCCGGGCCGGGGGACCCCGCAAGGACCGCGAGCATGCGACCCTAGGAGGCCGTGAGCGAGCCGAGCACCGCCGCGGCACGGCCTACCCACAGCCCCGCGCCACCGCCTCCTGTCGCCCTGGCAACCGCGACCTCTCACCAGGCCGCGCCCCATCCCGCTGCACATGATCCCTCTCAGCCAATACCGTGCCGGGAAGTGTGCATCACGTGATCGGGGGGTTCACCATGCCGGCGGCATGTCCCTGTGGCGCGGCGCGGCGAGTCGCGTGTTGTCGGTTCACTCTCTGTGACCGCCCTGAGGCGAGTCTGGGGTCAAGTTCATTTGTTTAATTACCTACTGTCTTAACGTGTATTTCCGTACCCCTTTGCCATCCTGGCCAGCCAGAAGGCTTCTAAAAGCGCAGCCTGTGCTGTGCCTACCTGTAGGCCCATAGCTTTCTGCTCTTCAGTTACATGATTTTTTAATCATCCAGCAGTGTTTGCCCCCACCACATTAGCTTACCGAGCGCCGCATGCTCTGAGGCCATGGAATCATAGAATAGGGTTGGAAAAGACCTTAAGATCATCCAGTTGTAGCCCGGCCCCCGCCATGGGCAGGGACACCTCACACTAAAGCACGCCACCCAAGGCTCCATTCAGCCTGGCCTTGAACACAGCCAGGGATGGAGCATTCACAAGTTCCTTGGGCGACAAAGGCTTCCCTCTCTGGTTAGTACAGCCTGTGCCCGTGATCACTTGCATTATCTAACTGCCTGGAAGGTTCCTTTGGAAACAAAGTCAGAAGAAAAAATGAGAGCCCTGCAGGGGCTGAGCACTGCACAATGAGTCGGAATCACAGCTCCAGCGCAGCCAGGGGGAGGGACACCGAGGCCAGCCCCATGGGTTGTGCACGTATTGCACCAGCAGGCACACACCCGACATGTCATTACCTCATATAGAGTCATGACCAAAATAAACAGGGGGATAGGCCAAGCCACCTATTAAGGCTTTGTCCCGTTTTTAATTAACTCTGGTGTTAATGAACCTTTTGCCATTAACAGCGAATTTCTAGCAAGCATTTGCAAGACACAGCACAATGACATTGTAGTACCAGTGATGTCCTGTGGGGTTTTGGTCTCACCCCAAAACCAGTCTTGTTTTCCACCATTAACACCTAAGAAGACCCATGTCCTCTGCACGTCCTACAACCAGACACAGCATAGCACCATCTTTCTTCATTTAAAAGGCTCATAAGTGGACAGCTGAAACAGAATGCAGAGATTTGCATCTGACATACATACTCGGATTTTGACCCTCAGTAATATCACAAAACCCAAAAGCTAATCTGACCAGCCAGCTCAGAGGCACTCCTCTCCAAGGAGACCGCTTCCCAGTCAAACTTTAACTTTCCAACACCAGTGTGGATGAATACAGTTCAGGCTACCATCCTCCCTTGGCCATGATCTAAGGGTGGTATTCTCTTTAACTAATTAAAACAAACAAACAAACACACACACACACACACACAAAAACAAAAAAAAAAACAACACAAAAACAAACCCAAAACCACAAACCCCTCCCCCAAAAACCAAGAACAAAAACATTTAAGGAACAGGAAAAAAAAAATATCACCCTTGAACATTCTTGCAAGGTCTAAAATTACCAGCTTGACTGGTGAAATGTTTGGAAAGGGTGAGGTGATGGGAAGCAGAGTTATGATGGATGGTGAACAGGAATTAGCACTCCATCTATAACCTGTGGGAGTTATTTCACCTCTAGTTTGGTATTTGTGAATAAAATACTGAGGCAGACTGCTGCTCTTTGAGAAAGGGAGGTGTTAAATATGTTATGAGGGGCAGAGGCAGCTTTGACAAATCTATGCCCTCTCCCATGCTTTGCTTCTTCAAGTTATGCTTGTCCCAATAAGGGACAGAACAATTGTTTGAGCCAGAGTTGTGCCAAATTGCCCAGTTTTTACTTACCTGTGTTTCATGTGATGGGTGAAAAGGCGCCAGAAATAGGTCACTTTACCTATCACCTCTGCCTTTGCCAGAGGCCCTTGAAAACATCCCATTCCCTAACTCAATATGCCTGCGAGATGTTCTCACTTAAAGAAATCCTGCTAGGATAGGAGCTTTCCCAGGAAATCAGGAGAAACCTCACCTGTTTTCTTCAGGGTTCCTCCATGCTCCCAGCAAGCAACATCACAACATGCAAGGTCAAAGGGACAGAAGAGCAGATTCCTGAAACCCCAGTGAAGACCACACTGCTCTGCAGGTCCTGAACTGGATTGTACACTTTTGCTGGATTAAAAAGACAGAAGGCCATTCTCCGTGCCCAAATGGAAAGTTTTGCAGGAAATGTCTTCTTGCAGAAGCTTTTCCAAGTGGTTGTATTAAAACTAAAAGCAAGCAGGCAAGAGAGGAACACTTTTTGAAGCTTTAACATCCTGTAATTTTTGGAGTAAAACTTCAGCTTTTAGTTGCAAAAAAAAAGATTTTGGTTTGGGTTTTCAGTGAATACTTTGAAGGAGTAATAAATAAGTAAATAAAAAGTCATTTGAGTTTTCAGTTGATGACACATTATTGTTGATTGGGTTGGAGCATGGACTGCCTCCTACTGGGACTGGCTGGGAGACAGACAGGTTTGCTTGGACTAATGTCCTGCACTCAGGCAGGGCACTTCCCCAGTAGTTCAGACACCGCTCTCATACTGAATTACACAGCAGTGCTTTCCCAGAGCCAATGGGGTTTTCATTGCAATGAAAACCAGTGCAATGGAATTGCAAAACCTCTCTGCTCACTCCAGCTTCAGGCTATCATAAAGCCACTCTTGTCTCCCATTGATGGGGCTTGTTTAGCTGCTGCCAAGCCTCAAGTTTCACCTCTCCCCAGAAGGATGCGATCAGCCCGTGCCAGGCTATTTATATGCAGCCCTTTCTTCAGTAATTTCCTGTAACCAAAGTCCCTGACCAGGGAGAGGCACAATGAAGACTTTGATTTTGTGCCATGGGATGCATGAAGGAGGCAACAGGGTGAACTCAGCTCTCCTTGAGATCCAGAAGACTCTTGACCTGCTAACTGCAAAGCAGGGAAGAAGGAGGGACTGGCTGATGCATCCCCAAAATGCTCATTTCTGCTCAATTGCAAAATGGTGAAGGAGGCTCACAACAGATCAGCCCATGGAACCTTTTCAGCTGTGGCAGAGGTCATCCTTCAGAGATACTTACAGGGACAGAGATGACAACCAGGAGAGACTAATCAACTGCCTTTGCAGGGCTGGGGGTGCCTCCATGGGGAATGATGGCAGCCCAGTGCCCTGGGCCCAGAGGGGGCAAAGCGGGGCTTTCTGGCATGTGCTCATTTGAGGCATGGGTCATTAAGCCCCCAGCCAGGGTGAACACCAATGTGGGAGAGGGCTTGGCTTCCAGTAACAGCAAGGATTTCCAGCCAAAAATGGCAGGGGGCTGGGAGGAGGGAATTGATACAGATGCTCCATTAAAAAAAACGTAGAATGTAAAAAACAGTCTGGGAGACCAGGGGCACAGAAACAGCAGGACACACAGCTTCATCACCAGGAGAAACACCCCCAGCGCCAGCGAGCCTCACTGCCTTCATTGCACGGGCACAGCTTTGATACTGCCCTCCCCACAGAGCAATGGCCACCACCCAATCACCTGGAGACAAATCACAAAACCTCTGGGCCTGCAAGAGAAGCGAGCAGCAGGTTTCATCTGTGAATGAGCCCATGAACTGTGCTGTCCAATGTAGATGTTTCTAGCATATTATTTTCAGCTGCTGCTTGTTCATCCCTGACCCCCAGATTTCGTGCTTAAAGATCTCTGTGTGAAGTGAAAGTAAACAGAGAGTTTGCCCAGCCCTACAGAAGCTGTCTCAGCTTCTCCTCTGGGAGGACACTGGTGGGGGGAAACAAAAAGTTAATCCATCTTCGTTCTCACTGACACGGAATGAAGAAAACAATTAAATGGGAGAGCCAGCCTAAAGCTGAGAACAAAGACACTGCACCAATATTTCAGGTCTTTTTCCTTCACTCTGAAGGGGAAAAATTTGCACCATGCTTCATCTTTTGCAGGTTATCTTTGAAGGAACAATGTCCCCATAATTTCTGCTGATAATTAACCTTGCCTTTGCAGCAGTTGTTCCCTGGCTCACAGAGCAGCTATTTATAGCCTTTGCCGGGGATGCTGTTGCCACCAAACGACTGCCCTTCCCCTTGACCAGCCTTGCACCAAGGCGGTGGGCAGCTAGGGTGTCCCCTCATGCTCGCCAGGACCTGCCTTACCTGGACCCTTACAGTATAGACCCTTCACTGTCCATTTTCTGCATATGCTTTGCAAACACACAGAAAAAAAACCCAGACATACATGCTGCTTAAACACACATTCACAGGGCTGTCAGGCAGCAGGGTCCATCAGAGCAAGCGCACAGGGCTCGGGCACAGCAAGTGCACAGGGGTTATGGTCTTTAGAACCTCTCATTAGCTGCTCTCCAGTGGACTTGGGCAGAAGGAGGATTTGCGAGTCACTTTTCTGTAGTGCTGATTCTCCCCTGCTGGAGGAGACACGGGCGACTAACCTGAGTATCTGCACAGTCCTGAGTGAAACCAGAGCTTTAGTTGTGCAGCCAATGCCAGGAACTGGAGTACAGACCTCACAACAAAACTCCAGATCTGGGCCGACGGCAGCTGGACCATTTGCCCACACAGAACAGAACTTCAGAGGCTGAGTGAAGCCAGACATGAGCAGGAGACCAGCAGCAGGGGCTGGGGCAACTTCTCCTCCCAAGACACAGAGCAAGGGCCAGCTCAGTTGCACCGGTGCTGGAGAAACACATTGAACCAGGTCTGCCAATACCAGTTACCTTCACTGAGGAAGCAAAGACCCTTGCTCCCATATGAAGTCGCACTGGGGAAAGATCAGCACCCGTGGGGGAAGGCCTTCAGGCCCGCTGGTCCCATCAGAGGTTGCAAGTAAACACAAGCCTTTCAGAGTCCTG